GTATTTGATGAAACTTTATATTTATGCATCGGAATAACACAGGCTATATTTCATACTGAAATTTAACGCGGACGAAGCCCTCGGCACAGCTAGTGTTGTACCTAATAAAATTCAAAATTTCAATATTAACTGTGTAATAGTAAATTGTGTGGTCGCACGTCGACCGTCTGATTTGCGATCGACATCAAGATGTATCGTGGTCCCTAAGACCCGTAGCGTGCCTACGATAAATCTAATGAAACTTGAAACGTAATTTATTACCTGTTACACTCTGCTGCGTTTTAAATGGCAATTTATTTGGGTAAAAATCAGGTATTTATACTCTTTTTCGTTAATTCAAAAATAAAAGGTATTCTATTGATAAATCTTTTGACTTATCTTTAACAAGCTATTTTTTTTTCATATTCGTCCATCTACTTTTCAATTATGGAACAGGCAAAGATCATTAGACCGTACAGCCTAGTCTACGTTTAAACTTCTTCATATTTGTGTAAGTGAAGAGGCCAAAGGCTAATTCTTATGTAAGTTTATTCATTATTGCTTTCGTATAATTCTTGTGAAGTTGTGAATCATAGACTTTTTTTCATATTCGTCCATCTTTTTTAAATGATGGAACAGGCAAAGATCATTAAACCGTACAGCCTAGTCTACGTTTAAACTTCTTCGTATTTGTGTAAGTGAAGAGGCCAAATGCCAATTGTTCTGTAAGTTAATTCATTATTGCTTTCATATAATTCTTATGAAGTTGTGAATCATAGACTTTTTTTTCATATTCGTCCATCTTTTTTCAATGATCGAACAGACAAAGATCATTAGACCGTACAGCCTAGTCTACGTTTAAACTTCTTCGTATTTGTATAAGTGATGAAGCCAAAGGCCAATTCTTATGTAAGTTTATTCATTATTGCTTTCATATAATTCTTGTAAAGTTGTGAATTATAGACTTTTTTTTTCATATTCGTCCATCTTTTTTAAATGATGGAACAGGCAAAGATCATTAGACCATACAGCCTGGTCTACGTTTAAACATATTGTTATTTTAAACATAATATACATTTGTACGTACGACCCCCCGAGTAAGGCTTCGCGACTCCCCTGGGTGTTGCAAATATAACTACAAATAATGTTTTATTAACTATTTTATTACTTATAGGAAAAAATGCAACTGAATATATAATATTTGACTTATCTGTTTTTCATGTTACTTAGCGATAATTCGAATTTAGAATAAGCATACGTCACACTGGGGGTCACGATCCACAGATTGAAAAACACTGCTGAAACGGTACAGTTACGCCACTGAGAGATAGGACGGCCCTATACAGCCTCAACAATGATGAAATCTCTATTTGCAAATGGGTTAGGTCGGTGTTTCCAAATTAATACTACACGTACCCCCAGGGGTCCGTGAAGTTGCATCAAGAGGTACTTGCGGCTATCAGTAAAACAAACACACACACTCATAAACTTTCACATTTATAATATTAGTGTGATTGGTTGATTGATTGACAATAGGACCCCTTATTGTCAATCAATCAACCAATCACACTAATATTTTTGAGGTTTGAGATCTTTTTTGAAATGGTACGCAGCAAAAACTATTTGGGAACCTAATCTAACCCAGTGGTTGGAAGGAACGGGATCGTTAGTAATATATTTTTTTTTTTTATAACACAGGGGACAAACGAGCATGCGGCTCACCTGATGGTAAGTGATTACGGCCGCCCATGAGCACCCGCAACACCAGGGGAATTGCAAGTACGTTGTCGCCCTTTTAAAAAGGAATAAGCTCTTTTCTTGAAGGTTTCATATCGTATCGGTTCGGAAATACCATTGCTGGAAGGTGATTCCATAATGTGGTTGTGCGAGGCAAAAAGTTTCTAGAAAACCGCTAATCATCATAATTATTATGTCATCCAGATGTTCAGGATGGTATTTTAGTTTCTGGCGGGTGGTACGGTGGTGAAACTCAGCAGCTGGTATTAATCCGAACAATTCCTTAGAACACTCCCCGTGATATATGCGGTAGAATATGGTCTAATGATCCCATAGCTAGCAATGTACCATGTCAGGTTGTCCTCCACGCGGTTCCTTCTGTAAACCATCGTGATAAATTCCCTGTGAATTTGTCACGTTGGGCTACCTGATCTGACCTCATGCTCATCTTATTATCCTTAACTGGTGCCCCGCTAGCGTAAACTGTTAGTGCAGGCGGGTGCACCATTCCATTATCATCCTCAAAAAAAACCCAGTGGTTAGGTAATTCTCGAATTCAACTAGGTGCATTGACTAGCAAATCAATAGTAATATCAGTAGGTATTAGAGATGTGTCAACTCGAGTTGCGCTGAATTCGAGTTGAATTCTGCCAACTCGAGTTGGAAGTATTCAACTGGTAAATGAACGAATCAAGTGTAAGAGCGAGAGCATGATTCTGTCGTGGAACCGACAATGACATGAAGTTTTCCGATCATTTCATATCATACAATTTTCACACGTCACAAATGTTTCAATATTGATTTGAGGTCGTTATATTTTTTTTTATCGCATATTCATCCGGTTATGTTTATATATATATATATATATATATATATATATATATATATATATATATATATATATATATATATATATCTCTAGTAGGTGTTCCCTAGCCTGCTTACTGCACTTGCACAGTACAATGAACATTTGATATTAATCGCTCCATATTCCACACAAAGGCAATCAGATCCTACAGGAACGTGTGGGCTGATCGATAACTGATTATCATTATCACGCAGTACCCGGGCAACCGAGCTTCACTCCTCTCTTTCTTTAATTGTGTTTCATTGCAGAAGATACTAATCATTATCATTACATAGTCATCTAGACCAAAGTTAAGCTAGCTAAACCTTGTGTTATAGTACTAGATAACTGATACAAATACATAGATATATATTTTTTTCGTGAATACATACATATTATACATATAAAACAACTAGGCCGCACAGCCCAAACCACTGGACGGTGCGGCCTGAAATTTGGCATGCAGGTAAATGTTATGACGTAGGCGTCCGCTAAGAAAGGATTTTGATTAATTCTACTCCCAAGGGGATGAAAGTTTGTATGAAACTTTGTCAATCTTAAACCGATCGGGCTGAGACTTTGCATGCAAGCATAAAGCTACTATGACGCAGGCATCCCCTAAGCCCTAAGGGGATAAGACTAGCTTTTTCCCGCGGCTTCGCTCGGGAGAATTGCAAGTGCGTTGCCAGCCTTTGAAGAGGGAATAAGCTGTTTTCTTTAGTCATTATAATTCTCGCGACATTACTTACAATTTCTATCTTAATTTGTCTGATCTCCTAATTAAAAATCCGTTTTCACTCAAAATTCCGCCTTTCCAAATATCGAAACAGGGGCTAGATAATTGCTAGCAATGTACCATGGCAGTTACTACCACGTTGCCCCTAAAAAACATTGCGCTAAATTGCCATTTGCCAAGATGGGCTAACTGGCCATGGCAGTGTTACTACCACCCTGGAAACCATTGTGCTAAATTGCCATTTGCCAAGATGGGTTAACAAACATTGAAACCGCTAAATTGCCATTTGCCAAGATTTGCCATGGCAGTGTTACTACCACTCTGGAAACCATTGTGCTAAATTGCCATTTGCCAAGATGGGCTAACTGGCCATGGCAGTGTTACTACCACTCTGGAAACCATTGTGCTAAATTGCCATTTGCCAAGATGGGCTAACTGGCCATGGCAGTGTTACTACCACTCTGGAAACCATTGCGCTAAATTGCCATTTGCCAAGATGGGCTAACTGGCCATGGCAGTGTTACTACCACTCTGGAAACCATTGTGCTAAATTGCCATTTGCCAAGATGGGTTAACTGGCCTGATCTCATGCTCATCTTATCATCCTCCACTGGTGCCCCGCCAGCGTAAACCGTTAGCACAGGCAGTTGCATTCCATTATTATCTATAAGAAAAAAATTCCCAAAGATGTTTTTGACGAATACACTTTGTGACATAGAAAATGGGGTGTACATGTATTATATATATAAATCTTCCTCTTGAACCTTTGACGACCTCGGTGGTCTAGCGGTTAGCACACCGCTTTACGACCGACGGTCGCCGGTTCGATTCCTCGTACGGCACAAACATTTGTATTCATGAGTATGATTGTTTGTATCGGTTTACTACTAAATAAACAACTCGGTAAAAAGACCTAACCAAAAGAGGTGACTTAGGATATTTTTGAAATATTTGCTATATAAAAATGTTTAACTTTACCGTCATATAATAATAATATAATTAAATAATTAAACTACTGAATATCATTTATTTTTATTAAAATTAAATCTCACTTACAAAGTTAACTTTGTAAAAACAAATATATACAACTATAAAAACAAATATAGATATACTATTAAGTAAAGCTAGGATATCTAAAATAAGTTAATAATTTAATACATCATATAATAAGCTAATTAATTTAGTTTTTGGAAATTATTTCAGGAATATTTTGTCAAATTTCGCATACAATTAATGTTAAATGTACCTTTCCAATCGACTTCAAGAAAGGAGGATGCTGACAATTCGATTTTTTCTAATTACCAACCGACTTCAAGGAAGGAGTATGTTGTCAAATCGAGTTTTTTAATGTGTATTGACAATATTTTTTATATCTATTCTCTTATTTAAAATCTGATACTACTCGTAAAGTTCCATTTAAATTTGATCAAGATCTAACTAGTAGGTTTTTTTATCTAATCAGAATAGCTGCAATGGCCATAACCAAGCTTACGGCCCACCTGATGGTAAATAGTAACCGTCGCATATATACATTAATAGCACTATGGACATTACTTTATCACGAAATATCACTCATGCGTTACCATTCTACAGTGCTAAGACGTCATGCCTCTTATCCTGCTCTCCATCGTGGTCTAAAAACGATATTATTATTTCTAACTAAGCTCTTATATATTCTATAAACAGGAAAAATATTTTCTTCTATAATACATTAACAACTTCCTCACATCTCGAACACTTATCACTATTTTCCAAAGCATTATATTTCCTACACCGCAAACATTGACTTCTGTCACTTTCTGACATTTCAATATGCCAATTTTTCCCGCCATTCATAACCTCCAAATTAACAGATGACACTTCTAATATTTCGCACAATACACTATCACTCGCATCACTAGTATTATTTAATTCCTTCAATTTATCATATAAATTCAATTCTAATTTAATATTCACGTTGAACTTCTTTAAATTTTCATTTTTTGTAATCAAACAAATGTCTCTTTTTAATTCCAACATGGCGACCATAAGCGAAGTGTCAACTGTTTTTGGCGGCAAAAGTGACAAGTTTCTTGTAAAGTAAAACGGTTTTTCATACAACGGATGATATTGCCATGCTTCTTCTATTAGATGTGGCAAAATGGGCCCTAATGCTTTACACAAAGATATCAAAATTGTATGAACAACTAACTGAGCCGATAATCTTTCGTTCGATTCCTTATGAGAACAATATAACCTATCTTTTATACAATGACAGTAGAGTGCAGAGACTTTGTTGCTTATAAAAAACAGTGTTGACTGCGCTATATGATTATATCTAAAATTATTGTAATGTTCGTTTGTTTGTTTAAGGAAATCATAAGTTTCACTCAGCATGTATTCGTCTAAGTAATTTAAAGATGGGGTTTTATTGAAATGAGATTTTTCTAAGTCATTTATCACGCCGAGGAGATATTTTATTATGCTTCGTATCCGAATGACTTCACTTTGACAATCGTCGAGGAGTTTCTTGCTAATGACTATTTGAGAATGCTGAGTTGCATGGCTTGCTGCCCACCATCTATGAAAGAAAAAAATCATTAGAAACTTAAACACCAGTTGGACAATACATTCATTCATAATAATAATAATTTATTTGACTTTTATGTCCGCTGGTTCGATTCCTCGCATAGTATAAGTATTTGTATTCATGAGTATGATTGTTTATATCGATCTGGGTATATATAAAGTATTTATATATGAAAAAAAGGACTCTTAAGTATTTACCCATAACACAAGCTCTGCTTGCCGTGAAACTAGATGGCGCTGTGTTAATTGTTCAGGATTATATGACAGCCTCGGTGGTCTAGTGGTAGCACACCGCTTTACTATCCGATGGTCGTGGGTTCGATTCCTCGCATGGTATAAACATTTCTATTCATAAGTATGATTGTTTGTATCGGTCTGGGTGTTTTCTATGTATAATATGTATATATTTTCAAAAAAAATTATCCATGTATTTATGTCAGTTGTCTAGTACCCATAACACAAACTCTGCTTAGCTTGAGACTAGATGGCGTTGTGTGAATTGTCCTGAGATATTATTATTATTAATATTATTGTTATTATTATTAAATACATATAAGAAAACTTGACATAGTTCAAATATAATAACGAAATCTTTCTATAACAATGTAGTGCAATTTTACTTGCATTAGTAGCTATTTTTCATATACTTATATAACCTGCCTATTTGAATTTCTTGTATTTCGTGAGTAATGTTTTTAGCAGTTTGTTATTCCAGCATAATATATAATTATTGTCATATAACGCACCTTAATGTATCTACCCCATATGCCGGCTGAGTGTTCCTGTCCTTGCCGCCGTGTATAACGGTAGCGGGTTCTATTATGTTGCCAATGGACTTCGACATCTTTCTTTTCTTGTCATCCACAACGAAACCGTGTACAAATACAGATCTAGAAACAAGGAATGTAACAACGATCAATTGACTTCGATCAATCTGGTGATAGTGAACTCATATACCTGTTAGGGGAAATGGGATTGTTAGTAATATGTACAATGTACCACGTCAGGTTAACCTCCACGCGGTTCCCCTTGGAAACCATCGTGACAAGTTACTCCTGAATTTGTCACGATATGCTAACTGACCTGACCTATGAGGTCATGCTCCTCCACTGGTGCCCCGCCAGCGCAAACCGTTAGCGCAGGCGGGTGCACCATACCATTATCATCGATTAAAACAAAACTCGTATATCAAATACAATCAAAAATCGGTTTTTCATGTAGGACATTTTAGCCGCTTATGAACGTCAAATTGTTTTGTATTATAATTTGTTCCCTACGGTCCTTATTATCCTTCTAAATATCAACAATATCGTATCGGTTCGGAAATACCTTTGCTTTGAAGGTAACTCTAACTTGTGGTTGTGTGGCAAAAAGTTTCTAGAAAACTGCAGTGTGGGGGATCGCTATTCATGTAGATCAGTGAGTCCCAAAGTGGTCTATATCATGGGGGTCTATGACAAACTGCAAGGGGTCTACTTATCTTAACACTAAACGTTACTACAGTTAGAAATTTACAAAAAAAAATCAATACCAGTTAAGAATGTAGGGTATATATTAATATGTATCACACAAACCGAAAAATATGTGACAATTTAGAATATAATTTTGGTATTGGAAATATAAAGCATATAAAATAGTTATAACCAAATAAGTGGTCTACGACACAAAAAAGTTTGGGAACTGATCTAGATGATCAAGATGGTATTTTAGATTGCTTGTAAAAACAAATTTGCTAACCGATACGGAGCTTCCCCTGTCAAAGCGACAGACGTGAGCAGCGATGTTTGGAACCAGCCAGTCAACTGATCGTAGCCCTCTGAATACAACTGCGCTTTAGACCCGCCGAGGGTCGTCCACGATATGCCAGAATCAAACCAGATATCCATAATGTCCTGGAATAAATATTAATACGTGCACCAAAAACTTTATACCCATATTTACGAAAATTGGGAGGACGGACGAGTATGAAATTTCGCAATCTTATAGTTTATGTAGAGTGAAAATGCTATTTTCTTTTTATATTCTGCATTAAAAATAAATTAAATCTAAATATATATAACTCAAAGGTGACTGACTGACATAGTGATCTATCAACGCACAGCCCAAACCACTGGACAGATCGGGCTGAAATTTGGCATGCAATGATGTTATGACGTAGGCATCCGCTAAGAAAGGATTTTGATTGATTCTACCCCCAAAGGGATAAAATAGAGGATGAAATTTTGTATGAAACTTTGTCAATTTTAAACCGATCAGGCTAAGACTTTGCATGCATAAAGCTACTATAACGTAGGCCTCCTCTAAGAAAGGATTTTGATAAATTGCATCCCTAAGGGGATAAATTAACGCGAGCGAAGCCGCGTGCAAAAGCTAGTGAATAATAAAACACATCACACAGGCTACCGTGCTATTGACACAGACACACGTACATACTCTTTTGTTTAAGTATTATTGTTGGTTCAAAGGTCTTTTTAATTTTTTAACTAAAGTAAATTATTTATTTAACTGCAGTAAATGCAGATAACAAACCTGGCCTTTAACAACTTCTTTGACATCCAATTTCTGCTCTTTTATAACATCGTCCGGTAGCAATTTTTTCGCGTCACAAGTCCACCAAACGTCCGGCCCTTCAGTCTCTATGAGAGAGCAAAGCTTGTCTATGATTCGCCTAGAAGAAGAAAATTAAATTGTTACTAATAGCACAGATAATAAAATATTACAACAATAGTATTGTCATCAAGATAGACTTTGTATTAAGTCGTCTGCGTAGGTAGAGCAAAGATTGTCTATGATTCGCCTTGAAGGAGAAAATTATATTGATAGCACAGATAATAAAAATCAAATTTATCAAGATACTAATAGTCGGATCGATGATTCGCCTTGAAGGAGAAAATTATAAAATAGCACAGATAATAAAATATTACAACAATAGTATTGTCATCAAGATAGACTTTGTATTAAGTCGTCTGCGTAGGTAGAGCAAAGATTGTCTATGATTCGCCGAGAAGAAAATCAAATTATTACTAATAGGATCGATAGAAGAAAATATTATATCAACAGTTATTCGGTAGACTCTTTAAAAAATAGTCTACGTAGGTACATCTGTCTCGTCCATTTCATCCATTTCATCCGCCAGTTGCTTTGTAATCTGTTTCGGTTTTAGAGATTAGGCAGGATAAGAGGCGTGACATCTTAGTCCTCTAGAATAGTAACGTATGAGTGATATCATAGATGAGATATTTTTTTATGCATGGTAGTTGTCACCACCTACCACCTGTATATATATATATATATATATATATATATATATATATATATATATATATATATATAATTAACTTATTTACGAGCCGAGGTTCGAACCCCTAGCGGTGCCCTCAGACTAAAGTCGTATCGGCGAGAGTTGGCCTTCAGCCCTCCATAAGTCGTTCCGCGGGTTTGGAGTGCCATCTGCACTCGCCCCTAACGTCCGGTGAAGCTGTAAAGGCCAGCTGCGGCCAACAGAATTAGATATATCCCAAAAAAAAACATAATACACATAGAAAACACCCAGATCAATACAAAGAAGTATTATCAATATAAATCTTTGTACTGTGCGACGAATCAAAGCCACGACCATCGGAAGTAAAGCACTGGGCTAAACCGCCAGACCACCAAGGCTAAGGTTATTTCTCAATCCAATTATATAAAAACAGCACTAGCTGGTAGTCGAATATACTTACTCATCAACAATAACACTATCTCCCTGATACAATGCCGGTATAGGCACACCCCAGGCTCTTTGTCGTGATATGCACCAGTACGGACGTCGCTCCAACTGGCTACGGAACCCTTGCCGCGATTGCTCCGCGCTAGACGCCGGCAGCAGTTGTACTTTGTCGAGAGACGCCTGGAATTTAAACTAGTGTTAAACATTTCATCACGACTGTAGATGACGAGAGAACACAAGTATTTCTAAATTGGGCGAAATATGTATAGATATGTATAAACTAGCTATTCCCGCGAATTCGCCCGCGTGGAATTTAACTTTATTTTTCTAATTTTAATGGTAGCCTAAGTTACTCCTTATTACATCAGCTACCTGCCAAAAAAATTCCCGTCAAAATCGGTCCAGTCATTTCAGAGATTAGCCAGAAAAGACAGACAGACAGACAGACAGACAAAAATTGTAAAAAAATATATTTTGATGTATGTACCGTATTTATATTCATATGCATGTAGTAAAAAACGGTTATTTCAATATTACAAACAGACACTCCAATTTTATTTATAACTAGTTTAAAATAAAAAAGAAATTGTACTGTTGTTGTAAATTACTATCAATATGAATATAATTGTTTTAAAAACGTGACTCCTTAAAGCCGAAGAAAAAAAAAGAACTCACCAATGCATTCTCCTTCAAAGCGGCCGTATCCACAAACCACTGTTTACTTGCTCTGATTATAACTGGTTTCTTTGTTCTCCAATCTAGAGGGTACGAATGTACATAGACTCCACGGTGTATCACTGATTCCCCAAGACGGTCGACCACCAGATCTTGGCCTTCAGATAGTACTTGGAGTCCATTGAATTCAGGGGTCAAGTTAATGTAGCGACCAGATTCATCAACGTTGCATTGCTAAAAAAAATATGTATCTTTTTTTTATTTTATGATGGCAAAGACAGTCATTGCATAATGCTTAAACTACATAGGTATAAAATGACGTTATACTGTAAACTAACCACAGTCATGTTGTTCTTCAATGCAACTAGAAAGTCCTCGGGTCCATGCGCAGGCGCAGTGTGTACTAGACCTGTCCCTTTGCTGGCTGTCACGTGATCTCCCTCCAGGAATGGCAGTATTTCGTTGACTAAATGATTCTTGTATGTGGTCCCATCAAGTTGATGACCTGGTAAGGCATTTAAAGTGAATAGAACTCCGAACAAGGTGACGGTAAGTGGTCACCGTTATGAAGACTACCAACTGTAATAAATATTATAAACGTGTAAGAATGTAAGGTAATCATCAGCCCACTACAGTCCACTGCTGGACATAGGCATCTCCCAAGGTACGCCACTGGGCACAATCTTCAGCCCTTCTCTTCCAGTTATTACCCGCAACCCTACGTATGTCGCCCCACCTAACTGCGGGGCGTACACTACGTTTGCCAATTCGCGGTCTCCACTCTAGAACATGTGTACGTGTGCCGGCATCGGTTCTCCAGCCCGCTGCCACTTCAAATAACAACGAAGATCTAGTAAGTGGTCATCTATACATTAAAATAAAATCGGTTCTGATTGTAATATTGACGTAATCATTTTGTACTATATGCATATACGAATATAAATAAGGTACTCGTACATATGCCAAAATAACATTTTTTACAATTTTTGTCTGTCTGTTTAATCTCTGAAATGGAGGGATTTTGACGGGAAGAGCTGATGTGCTACTTTTGAGAAAAATAAAGTTAAATTTACCTAGTTATAAATGAAATGTACAAAATGTAAAAATTAATAGACAGACTTGAATAAAATTTGATAATAGATACATTATATCATATCTTGAAGGATAGAGCTCCTTCTTAAAAGGCCAGCAACGCACTTTCAATTCTCCTGGTGTTGCGGGTGCTCATGGGCGGCGGTAATCACTTACCATCAGATGATCCGCAAGTTCGTTTGTATTCTATGCTATAAAAAAAAATTGATTACATGTCTACCTGGCCTGAACCTTGATCCTTTAAGCTGCTTACCTGGTGAAGCTGTAAAGTCCAGCTATGGCTAACAGCATTAGAGTATTCCGAAAAAAAAATTATTTTTATATATATATTTAACTACGTTGGACCGTCATCTACAATACTTACCATCAAATTCAACTAATTGTTTAATCTCAGTTCCTAATATATTTTCCAGTGCCTCTACAAGTGTGCTGCAGACTATGAAGATATCTCCCGGTCTACTGGCCAGTGTGACCAGACTGTACTTGAGCTGGGGACTGTAGCAGATCGCCTTGTTGGCGACCAGGGTCCATGGAGTAGTAGTCCAGATGATGGCGAAGATATTCTTCCTAGAAATATTGATTCAATATTGCATACTTTAACTCTCATTATTATCTAATAACTTAAGTAAAAATGACTATATGGTTAATTTACATGCGTTTGAAGTGTTGATTTGACTTGATTTACTTACAGTAACTTTCATTAATATACGTTTAGTAGTTTTTGTTCAGTGTTTTATACTACTGTGTGAAGATCTGTTATTATTCTGATTATATATTACTGTAGTTTCCTCAAAATCCATTCAATTATTTTTGTGTGAGAGAGTAACATACATCCAACTATCTATGGATAATCCATCCACTGGGGGGAAGGGGTGTTAGTCAGGTTGACCTCCACGCGGTTCCCCTTGGAAACCATCGTGATAAATTCTTGGTGAATTTGTCACGATGGGCTCACTAACCTGACCTCATGCTCATCTTATCATCTTCCACTGGTGCCCCGCCAGCGTAAACCGTTAGCACAGGCGGGTCCACCATTCCATTATCATTGTTGGCGACATACCTCTTTTTATAGATATTTCTATTTTTAAACCATATATTTTTTATATACAATTTTTGACATATAGTTTTTATTATATTGTTTTGCTACATTGTGTCATATATTCTACCACTAAATACATCATTCAAGTTTGGTAAGTAATTTTATTTATTTACCCTACTTCACTGCCGTTGCCAGCCGTAATAATCATCCTTAAAAAATCCAACCACTGAGAAACACACCCATAAACTTTCGGATTATAATATTAGTAAAATTCTCTATCTGTCTATTTATTGTTTTGTGTAGTAATTGACTGTCTTGGTAGTCTAACAGTATAGCACACCACCTTACTTCAATGGTCGCAAATTCGATATCTCACTAGGTCAAAACATTTGTATTCATGTGTATATCAGTTGTCTACTACGCACACCACACGCTCTGCTTGGCTTGGAACTAGATGGCGCTGTTTGAATTGTCATGAGATCATTATATTTAGTGTTATGTAGTGTTCAATGTAATTTTAAACATGTATATTACTGGTTAACAATTATTTTCTTGCTTTCTTGAATTATGAAAAAAAAACTTACCCTGCTGCCACATTTTGGAGGACACTGGGAACATTCTGTACAGGAAATGAAACGTAGACCTCTTTGCTTTTATATTGAGCATCATATTCCAATTCGGCTTCTGCCAATGCTGTTCTGAAACATACTATTAATATATAAGGATCCGAGTGAAGATTCACAACTGAATGGATTTATAATATTTTATTCAATTCTGCTACAATAAGCATGAGATTACAAATGTTCCTTCTTTTCTCTGTACCTGGAAGCCTGGTGTTGACAGTTTGAAGTCGCTGTTAGGTCGCCGAACAGTCAACGCTAGGCTTCCAAGTGTAAGAAGCACTAATTAATTATGACGACTTAGGCTTTGAAGTCGGCTACCGCAAGGGAAACCCCAAGTAGCGCCGGTGACTTGTGACACGGGTGTAGGTTTAAAAGGCCCTTTTACTTGCAGCTTCCCCCCAGACCCAACTAAGACCGGGATAAACCCATTCCTAATACAATTCACTTTAGTATCCAAAACACAACCGGCACGCTCTGCGCTCATCGACTGAATGCCGCGGCTCACCCAACGAAAGAGGTTTATTCAACTACCGACCTCCATATTTATAGACAGAAGTCAGTGTAGTAGGTCGGTCTATAAATACTAGATGGCGCTATTTACAATATTTGTAATAATCTTTACATAGGGTACATCATTAGTACTAAACACAAACTACCTTCTTTTATTATTTTTTTTTTAAATATCGGATTTTTTTCTACAACATTGATGTGAACTCTAACAAGCTACAAGCAATATCCAAACTCTTCAACGCCTGAAGATGCCTCGTTCAGAGGCAAGACACGTGTCGCAATATGGATGTAGACTCAATAATGGTCGGAATTTGATCACCATTAGAGAAGGTCGTAATGGAAGGCAAGTTTCCACACTGAATATTTGTGCTTTCACACAAGCAAATTGTAATGTAATTAAATAGAATAATTGAGAAGTTACTTATTTATATCATAATTCCCTCATGCCCCACCCATTACTGCAACCAAGTACACCATTCCATTATCACCCACTAACAAAATGTTCAATACAACATCACTCACCTGGGGAAAAGGTATTCTCTTTAATGTGGATCTTATTGCTAGCTATGTACCATGTCAGGTTGACTTCCACGCGGTTCCCCTGGAAACCATCGTGATTAATTCCTGGTTATTTAATCACGATGGGCAAACTGACTTGACCTCATGCTCATCTTATCATCCTCCACTGGTGCCTCGCCAGCGTAAACCGTTAGCGCAGGCGGGTGCACCATACCATTATCATCAACAAAATGTTCAATACAACATAACTCACCTTGATGAAGGTGACCAGTAAACAGGTTTCAAAGCACGGTATATCAGTCCCGATTTGTACATTTTATAGAACTGCCGTAACTGATTCTGCACATAACTGTTATTTAGTGTCAAATAACAGTTATCCCAATCAGCCATGACTCCCCAGCTTTTAAATGTGGCCTTTTGTTTATTGACCGTCTCCAATGCGAAGGCTCTAGCCAGTTTCCTTATATGTACAGGGTCATTGGGTTCATTTTGCTTTGACACCTTTTTCGCCTTTTGCAAAGCTTTTAATTCTATTGGAAGACCGTGACAGTCCCATCCGGGTATGTAGTGGATTCTGTTCCCTTGTAGTACCTGACTTCGATTGTTTATGTCTTTTATTATCTGTGGAAAAATTTTGTGAGTAGATTTGATTAATCTTTTCTAACTACAGAAGATTTAAAGAGAAGAAAAAAGGAAATCAATTGGGAGGATGATATATGTGCAGTGGTTCGATCAACATGGAGACAGAAAGTGCCCACACAGGAAGATATTTAAATTTGTTAGTGATAAAAAAAATGTGCACAAATGCTGTAAGGTCCTATGTGAATGAATGATTTTAAGGTTTAAGGTACAATAATGAAATTATTAATTATACAAGAATGAAATTAAAAGTTACATTTTATACACTTTTTATTATTTTAAACTATAGCAAATAGCAACACCAAATTTTAAATCAGAACTTACTCACACACTCGCTCACTTATTTATTTAACATTATAATACTATTATAGCAATTTATTTCCATTTATTTTGGTCAAAATTAACAAATAATAAATTATAATAAATTAATATACGACGATTTGTAAAAAAAAAATAGGAGCTAGATAGGTTTCGCACACAGGCGCTGAATGGGGTCAGCATGTTCAGTGTTAAGAAAAGATAAAGTATGTCGTTAAAAAACTTGAATAATTGACTTCATAAATACGATCATGGGTGACGCTGACATATTAATATTATTGGAATAAAACTTAATAAAATATACATTATTAGGAAGAAAATGCAAGAATAGAATAGAATAGAAAATCATTTATTCAAATAAACTTACATTGAAGCACTTTTGAATAGTCATAACATTTTTTTTAAATCTACCGCTCATTCGGAATGCTGTCTCATCACAAGAAGAACAAGCAAGAAACTTGTGTGTTGCTCTTTTCAATAATTTATTCTTACTTACAATTTAAGTTTAAGTGTGTGAATACCAACCACCGATTAGCACTAATTCAATGAAATAATAAAATAGAAAACACATTCAATATACAACAACTGGTTAAACAATTAATAAGAGAAAATAAGTCATAGTGATTAGAGCAGACCAGTCCACACAAGCAGCACCCGTTCACGAGTAAGACGGATGAGCCAGCCACCACTGCGCTCGACCATATTTTAGGGACAATGACCCGGCCCACCACGCCGCTACAAGTCTGGACATTTTAGTGAGCATGACTATTCAAAACACCAGACCACGTCATAGCTACTCACAATTGCCATCTGATGGTTATAGTATTCACATTTCACATAAGAATGCATGCGGCAATCAATACAAAAACCGCTACGCTTCCATATTTCTAAAATAATTGAATCAAGAAAGCAATGAGATAAACAAATTATAAAGCAAAGGATTTATGTAGTATATAGGTGAAAAATTACCTTATTAACAGCATGACCCATATGTAAATCCCCATTGGCATATGGTGGGCCATCATGTAACACATACTCAGGACCAGTTAAATGTTCTCTCTGCCAGTTGTAGAGCTCAGAAAATTGTGCAGTCTGTCAAAGGTACATATTTTTATTTTTATTTATTTATTTACTTTTTATGGCACCAAAAGTATATTACAAAGAAAATATACAGAAGTAATAAGGTACAAGAGGCGGTCTTACAATCTCTTCCAGACAACCTTTGGGTAGAGGAGAGAAGAAAGAAAGTACCATTTTCTTTCTTCTCTCCATGGCGAAGATGGCGCAAGAATGGACTAGAGTAATAAAAAAAAGTTAGTACTAAATAATAATAATTTACATATACCTATACACAATACATTATATATATTAATACATACATATATATAATGCATGTATGAAAGTTTGAAAGATGTTTTATGTATTTAAAACCGTAAACTGACGGTCTACCAGATAGTATGTACATTTTTTTTTAATTTATGATAATGGAATGGTGCATCACCTGTGATTACGGTACATACTAGCGTGGTACTAGTGGAGGATGATAAAATGCCCAAGAGCTCAGGATAGTTAGCTCATCGTGATTAAATAATTAGGAATTAATTGCATTGGTTTCCAGAGGTAACAGCATGGAGGTTGTACATAACTAGAGACTATTACTAATAAATTCCCTCAAATTTGTATTCATGAATAGGTCCAGGTCAGTGATTCCCAAAGTGGTCTATATCACCCCCAAGGGTCTATAACAGCGGTCATCTTATTGTTTTTACTTTATGTTTTTAACACTAAACTTTACTACAGTTAGAAATTTACAAAAAATCAATACCAGGTTAGAATGGGGGGTCTACCCTAAACTAAAAAATAGGGCAAAGGGTCTATGACACAAATAAGTTTGGGAACCTCTGGTCTAGGCGTTTTCTATGTATAATATGTATGTATTTATGAAAAAAAATGTTTCGTATCATATATACTAATATATGAATTTGTATCAGTTACCTAGTACCCATAACACAAGCTTTTGCTAGCTTAACTTGGGACTAGATGGTGCTGACTGAATTGTCCTGAGATTATTATTATTATTATCTTGGTCCACTGACAAAGATATGGCATACATATAACTCCCACTAAACTCGCTGGGTCTTCTCTAGTACATTAATATATAATACCTCAATGTACTTAAAGCAAAATTTAAATTAGGAATGAAATATACAAAAAAAATGACGTTTAAAAATGAAGCAAGTCTAATAATTGGTTTTATGTATATCGGATTTCCGTTATTAATTTTGTGTAATATTTTGTACCCATAAAATTGCATAAGTGTTAATTAAATGTTATTACCTTTTGGAGATCTTCCTTTGCGCTTTTGGATCGAGCTGGAAAATTTGTTTTTGGTGTAAGTATTGTATGAGAATATGTTTTCTTTTTTGTTTCTGCGGAACTTTTTGACCGTATAGAATTCATGTAAGACCATTTTGTAAATAATTTTCGATAATGAAAACACAAGATATTGGAATTGCTGATATATAACATTTTTGAGGTTATCTGGTTTGTTTTGACATTTAAAACTTAAAATTCTATCGTTCGTTCATAATTTTTAGAATGGAATGTATTGCAATATATATATATATATATAGTCTGAAAAAGATATTCTACACATAAATCATAGTAGACTAATGTTTAAATAAAGTGTATAGTTTAATTATTTATATTGTGTAGTGAATTTAATTATTTTAAAATTAGTAATTACATAACCCTAAATTCTGGACGAAGGTTGTCACTTTTATATTTTGACATTTCTTTGACGTTGTCATTGTTGTCATGTCAATACGTCATTTGCTCGTGTTTAGAAAATTCCTTTCTGTCCACATTCCATAATAACATGCATTGTGAACATTAAAAATAAAAATATCTCATATTATAATCTGATTTCTTATATCCTCTATTAGTTCAATATAACTAGAACAAAATGGTAAATATTTTAATTAGTAGAGACTGTCAGATTAATGCTCACTGTTGTTTTTTAATAATTATAACCTCTTTGTAGCCTAAAGCGAAGAAGAAATTTATAGACAAAAAGAAGTCTGTGACATTCAATTTGGTGCATAGATCGCAGAGAGATCCTCTTGTAGCAGACGAGACCGCCCCGCAACGAGTACTAGTGCCTGTAAACGCCAATATACCACAGAGAAAAGAAAAGGAACCAGTAAGTGTATTCTGTACTATACCAAATAATAATATATCGACTTTCACTCGAATTTTCGAATATTCGAATTTCACTTGGTGGAATTCAAATTACTTAAATTCTGATATTGGACGGGCGTCAGTCAGCGTCCTAAATTTCAATTAAACAGTATTTTTGTCTTAATAATAGTAAATAATAAACGCGGTAGTTTGTGATTGTAGATGGATGTTTGTTACGCTTTCACGCAAAAACTACTGAATGGATTTTCATGAAACTTTACAGTAATATAGTTTATACATTAAAATAACACATATTCATGTAAGGACATAGCTAGTTGTCAATAAAACTGTGAAAGAGTATTGTATAATAAAAAGACTGGTAAGGATAAAATGTGCATCTTAATAAAATATATATTCAATCATAGTACAATGAGTAAACTCGTACAAACAGTACATTTGTCAAAAGTATAGAACTAAAATTTCAAAATATAATATGATAAAAAGCTTGTTGGGTCCTTTGGCACACTTTGATCTTTTGGTTACAGAAATTGTTTCTACTTATCTATCTTTTTCTATCAAGTAGGCCATTAACATGTTTGCTGTTACAGACAAATAAATAGAAGTAATTTGTATTCTAATGAACTTAATATAAGCACTTTTGAATAATAATATTTTTTTATTCTACCACTCATTAGGAACATATTTTTTTTTATGGATGTTAATGGAATGGTGCACCCACCTGCACTAACGGTTTACGCTGGCGGGACACCAGTGGAAGATGTTAGGATCAGTTAGCCCAACGTTACAAATTCACCGGAAATTTATCATGATGGTTTCACATTATTAACAATCCCCCTCCAACTACAGATTCATCACCAGAAGAAAGATAAAGAAACTTGCGTGCGGCTCTTTTAAATAAATGTTATTATTTAAAAGAGCCGCATGCAAATAAGTGAGTACACATTAACAGGGATTAGAAATGCAACAATCAACATAGAAACCACTAAACACTAAATCTTTGTGCAATCACTAAAAAATATTTTTTTACAGGAATTAACTCCAGAACAACGGCGAGAGGAACAACAGAAATATGGCATCTACTTTGATGATGATTACAACTACCTACAACATCTTAAGGACACCCAAGAGGTCACAATGGTCATGCAGCCAGTGAGTTCATTGACATAAAATATTTATTGTTATACCATAGAGACCTAATTTGACTTTTAAGGAATGTACACTGTGTACATTGTATAATCCCATCAAAAACATAAATGTGAAATGATAGCCGAGTTTAATATTATGATATATGCCTTGATTGTTGACTTCTACGACAAAAGAGATGAGATCTAAATGGGTGCCAAGTTCAATGGTCTGTCCTGAAATGTATTTATAACAATATAAAATATCATTTCTTCTTATAACTTAGGATAATATACTGTAGCCTAAGGTCTAACTTGGCCAGTTCTCATATACCAATTATTACTTTCGATTGCTAGTTACTATTAATATTAAAATAGGAACCGACAAGTAACATGTTTAGAACTTGCGAAGGCTACAGTATATTTCGTATATGAAAACTAGCCAAGTTAGACCTTAGGCTACAGTATATTATCCTAAGTTATAAGAAGAAATGATATTTTATATTGTTATAAATACATTTCAGGACAGACCATTGAACTTGGCACCCATTTAGATCTCATCTCTTTTGTCGTAGAAGTCAACAATCAAGGCATATATCATAATATTAAACTCGGCTATCATTTCACATTTATGTTTTTGATGGGATATCATTACTTTTTGTACATAAATTATACTAGGTACATATTTATAACTAAATTAATACCAAATTATTTTTGATAAATTACTGTATTTTCGTATATTTACGGGGTATAATTGTCTTTTTTTTGTGTTATTTTCTATATTTTCTTGTAACTTTTAAATGTTGAAGTCCAAAGCCAATTCAGTATCAGGAATTTTTGGGCAAATCGGGGCGGTATAACGTCCACAGATGGTTGTACTCTACAATAGAGCTCTCGTGACTTGGATCTAAATTGTTAAGACGTACCCCATCTAAGGTTTTAACTCTGGAGAGTCCAACGTAAACCTGCCCTTTATTAAATATGGAGGAGCCTATGTTGAGAAGAGGACTGCCAAAACTAAGGCCTTGTGATTTGTGGATAGTAATAGCATATGTTAAGCAAATACGGAATTGTTCTCTTTCAACATATACATTATTTAATATCTGAAACTTCGTATTGACACGTTATAGTTCGTAAAGATGATTATGTAACAAATTGACTGTTATCTATTGAATTCTCAAGAAAACAATTTGTTACCAATGAGTTCTCATTCTCGAGTTAACTATACATTCCTACTTATAACTATACTAAAATTGTTATTAATTTTTGGTTTAAACTATTGTCTATACCATACGTATTTACTAAAATAATGTAATAATAATATAACCACAAATATATAAGTATAATTTAAGAAAGCTATAAATTTCGTAGCATAAATCGCAACCTTATAGGTTAGATATCGAGAAACAAAACATTGAGACATATGAGGGCGGCTGCCATTCGCTCGGACAGGTTCGCGTCAACGTTTTATCGCACCGCTCCCACACGGCGCCGCGGTGCCCTATACCGAAATGCCTATTATTTAATAATTATTTATAAAAATAATGATTTTACACTATCGATGTGCGCTAAATATTGAAATAATAATTAATACCAAATCTCAGTTAATAACATAATAAATACGAAATTCGACTATACTCCTAGTTATAAGTACGAGTATATTTTAGACAGAATCTAAATTATAGCAACTAGTGTTTACCGCTCAATGCAATATTTGAAGTTTGCTAGTTATCGACACTGATGTGAAGGGGTCAACGTAAATTGGTAATGATCGACGTTTTCATACAATATTACTTTCCGTCCAGTACTAGATGAAATTTTTCGCCAGGGATCAATGTCAATTGGTGGCTATCGACGTTTTCATAGAATTTTAGTATGCGTCCAGTATAAGTTGAAATATAATCAATTAAAGTGAAAAATTGTAGTAAAATGATAACAATTTACCAGTTTCAGATTTTTTCCTTTATATTCTCCTAATTACCTATCTCCATGCCAAATTTGAACTTCCTAGGTCATCTGGAAGTGGGTTATAATTTTGATCTATAGTTGATCAGTGATAAAAATGACGATTTTTGGACATTAATATCTAAATAACCGTTTGAGATATGTTTATGAAATTTGGAACACATATTTATATCGCAAGTCTCAATATATGAACCAAATTTGACAGGTTTGTGTGATAGAGTTTTTGAGTTATGAGGGGGTCAAAAGTGGCTCCAAATGGTTCGTGTAAATATACACACGGTGCTGCAAGCCAGTTTACTTGAAACTCGGCTTGACACGCTGCCGCGTGTCTAGATAATAATAAACCAATGGACAATTCATAGAACCTTATCTAGTAGCAAGCTAAACAGAATTTGTATTATTGTTAATGGTAATAAATAATAATAATAATAAAAGCCTTTATTTACTGTTAACTATACAAATTTATAATAATAATAATAATCTCAGGACAATTCACACAGCGCCATCTAGTCCCAAGTTAAGCTAGCTAAAGCTTGTGTTACGAGTACTAGATAACCAATACAAGTAAATATATATATATTTTTTCGTAAATACATCCATAATATACATAGAAAACACCTAGACCGATACAAACAATCATACTCATGAATACAAATATTTGTGCCCTGCGAAGAATCGAACCCGCGACCATCGGACGTAAAGCAGTGTGCTAGACCGTTAGACCACAGAGGCCGTCTATGTGTTTAGGCAGTAACTGTGGTCCTGTTAGACTATATTTATTAAAAAAATTTCCCCACATGTGAATGTTAACAGTCTGCCATGTGACATAGGCCTCCCACAAGTATTTCCATAGCGTTCGATCACTTGCACTTGAGTCCAATCTTTCCCTGCTACCTTGTTAATGTCATCTTCCCATTGCTTTGTCTGTCTGCCTCTGCTTTATTATTATTTACCATTAACTTAGAGTTAACTAAAGAAGTTAATAGAATTACTTAAATACATTTTTTTGTTAAATACACATAAAATATATGAGTGAAGAAGTGAACATGATACCATCAGAAGTAAGTTGGTGTGCTAAAACCCTAGAACACTGAGGCTAGAAGCAGCTTCTGTAGCAAAGAAACAACTTTTTGTGATTAGCTTAATTGAACGTATTATTATTTTATACAGAAAGCATCCCATAAGAGAAAAGAGAAAACCTTGAACACGGAAGAAAATGAGAAGTTGGAGAAAGAAATAACAGATAATATAAAATTACCTAGTTCAGTATTTGCATCGGAAGTAGAGGAAGATGTGGGATTACTAAACAAGGCTGCAACTCAAGGTATGACCACAGATTAATTAACACTACTTTTTTTATTTACCTAAATGAAGGAAACAAAAGTTGTTGTCTATTTTTTATTAGGATTTTGGGTCATTTTCAACTATTTACATATGTACTGCAATCTATAGAGATGCATTGTGCTTACTATGTTTAAAAACCATCGCTCCTAAGAATATCCTTCAATTCTTGTCAATGACAGGCCTAGGCAATGAACTCTAAAAAACCCATGTTACTGATTACATACCTTTATAATTCATATATTGTGTTTTTGCTATTAAGAATTTTATTAGATATTTTTGTAAAGAGAACATTTTAGTGTCTAATAAATATTGTGACAGACAACTACAAGATCTATGCAGGTTACAGAGCTACAGGTTATATTTTGCATAGAATGATAGCCCAAACCTTTTAATAAAACAAATACCCTGTTTCACAATGTGCGACTTGGTAAATTCTGAAAGCAGAATTTTTTTTTGAGGTAACAATGGAAATTTTTTTAATTTATCCCATATCACCACCAATTCAATACCAGTCAAACTAAAATACATCAAATAAATTTAATATAAACACTTGAATAGTCATATAATTTTTTTTTTATTCTATTGCGCTTTTGGAAGAAGAATGAAGTAAGAAACTTGTGTGTTGCTCATTTAAGTAAATGTTTGTTTAGTTTATCATATAGATACAAACTGACAAATAGCAACATGAACATGTTAAATAAATGTAATAGCTACTTCAGTAACGAAATAAGTTAGTCATAGCTATCCGAGCAGACTAGTTCCTAGAGAATTGAAGAATGTTCTTAGGAATGATAGTTTTTATCTACACAGCGTAGAGACCTTTCTACAGACGTTTTATATATCTTTTTTAAATTCAATTTAAAAAAGAAGTTACAATATTTCATACAAAAATCAAACTAATTAAGAAAAACAATAGCACAAAGATTTAAACTTCTGGATTTTTTATACTGTGAATTGTAATACGGTATTGAAACCTTCAAGAAAAGAGCTTATTCTGCTTAAGGCTGGTAACACACTGAAATTCCCCTAGTGTGGCAATTGCTAATAAGTAAGTGCTAAATGGCAACGGTAATAATTTACCATAAGGTGAGCTTCTGGTCCATTTGTCTCCAATGCTATAAAAAGAATTGTTTGATTACAGGTCTATGTCTGAACCTCGATCCTGAAGTGGTAGCTGCTCTAGACGAAGATTTTGATTTCGATGATCCTAACAATGAACTGGAGGACAACTTTATCGAGTTGGCTATGGGTGAAGGTAAGTTATTTTGCTAATATATACATATAAATAAAATTGGAGTGTCTGTTTGTAATATTGAAATAACCATTTTTTACTAGTTTGTCTGTCTGTTTGTTCGGACTAATCTCAGGAATGGCTGGACCGATTTTGACCGGACTTTTATTGGTAGGTAGCTGATGTAATAAAGAGTAACTTAAGCTACTTTTATTTTAGATTTATTTTTAGAAAAATAAGGTTAAAAACCATGCGGTCGAAGTCGTGGGTACCGCTAGTAATTAATTAATTTAAAGTTTTTATTTATGTACACAATGGTTCCAATTAAAAAAACAGCTTAATTGCACATTCAATTGTATGTATTAAAAATCTATTTGTTCTACAGGATCTGGTGATGAGGAAGACGAAAATAGTGATAGCATGTCGGACGATGATAATTCGGAGAAAGCTTTCGCTTCGGACCTGGATTCCGATGATGATGATTCACAGGTGAGTTCTTTCTCTTCTTTCCTATCTGCAATCACTCCTAGAATACTAGATCTTTTGAGTGTGGGAACTGATAACAGAGTGTCCAGCCCAGCGCGAGGAACTGCTCCTTAAGAACACTGTGAAACATTACATAATGTCGCTTAGGGTATTGTTGGTTAAATTTTATTTTATTTTTTCTCTTCCTTCCTATCTGCAATTAGTCCTGAGATTATAGCAGATCTTTTGAGTGTTGGAACCGATAACGGAGTCTCCAGCCCCAGCGGGAGGAAATGCTCCTTAAGAATGCTGCGAATTTTCATAATATTGCTTCTTTGTAGGGACTTAGGGTAGTGTTGTTCCAGTTTTAATGTTCTATTCTTTCCTATCTGCAATCAGTCCTGGAATAAACAGATCTTTTGTGTGTGGGAACTGATAACGAAGTGTCCACTCCAGGATCTGCTGCTTAAAAATGCTGTGAAATTCTAACCTTTCTATCACCAACTCTTATTTCTTTATAGTGATTTTAATTTATATGGCAAAACTACGTTCGCCGGGGTCAGCTAGTATTAATATAAATATGTATAATTCATTTGGTACTAAAAAACGTTTTCAGTCGTTATGTATATAGTTTAAGGGGCTATGTTATTTTGATGTGTACTTATAAAAGATCCCCTCCGATCGGTGCCCTCAGACTAAAGTCGTATCCGTCAGGCGGGAGTTGGCCTTCAGCCGCTCCATAAGTCCTTCCACGGGTTTGGAGTGCCATCTGCATTCGCCCCCTAACGTCCGGTGAAGCTGTAAAGGCCAGCTGCGGCCAACAGCATTAGAGTAGTCCGAAAAAAAAATAATCTCATAAAAAACGTTTTCTGTCATCAGTTTGAGGTGCCATGTTATTTATTTTTATTTATTTTCACAGGAAGGGAGACGTGGCCGGATGCCGTCGTGGGATGAGCACGCTAAAGAAGAGACGAAGTCCCGTTTCTCTCAATACTCCATGTCATCCAGCGTTATTCGTCGTAACCAGGGTCTGACGTTGCTCGACGACAGATTCGAAAAGGTTCGTCATCGTCATATGCTTCTCCCTTATCCCCTTTGTTTGGAGTCGCCGTAATATGTTTTTCTCTTCCATTCAACCCTGTCATCTCGTTATTTACTCCCTGTTTTATCATATCATCCTCATATTACAATATTAACCGTTTACCATCAAATGCCGTATGTCTGTTTCCCACCATCGTAGTATAAAAAATATATTAAGTAATCGACTAAGCGATTACTTAATATATTTTTTATACTACGATATTAATATCTCTATAGCTCATGTTCTTTCTGATACCTTTCAATATGTACTATATATTTATTCATATATTATATATGTCTATTTGGTTTATAAATATAGTATCTTAAATATACACTCTCCTGAGGAGATACAAACCATCGCTTCTAAGGAATATAATTCAATTCCTGCCTACCCGTCAGGGAGGCAGGTAGCGAACTCTGAAAAAGGGTGAGCACAATAGATCTATGTAGGTCGCAGTGCTACACATCTAAGCACCTAAAAATAGCCCAAAATCATCAATAAAAAAAAACCTCCAACAGATGTACGCCGACTATGATGACACGGAACTGGGAGCGCTAGATTTGGAAGAGATCGAAGGTTTCATGCCTGAAACACACGATATGCTGCTTAGGGCGGCTGAGGACTTCGAGGAGTCGCGGAGACGGTACCACCTGGATAAAGAGAAGGAGGTTGCCAGGTATGTTAAGGAAACCATATTGTATTTCAAGTGAAGCTTGTATATAGACACTGCGTCTAGGATTAATATTAGGATTTTTCGGTTACGGAAAGGCGTTAACGTCGTGTGGGGTAGACGACATATCGCGTGGTCCGTTCAAGTTTCACTTCTACTATGTGGCACAGCATACATTCCTTTTTTTTATTGCATTATATTGGTATGGTGCATCCATACCAATGGTACGTTGTTAACAATGTGTTGTTACTCCACATTATTAACAATCCCATATCCCTGAAGTCATGTTATATGTAAGAAAATCAGATGGTTCAACATCTGAAATACATAGTGAATAGTACTTTTAAAATTATCTACTTCCTGTTAATAATTATAGTCTTAAAGGTAGACTGTCAAAAGTTTGGGTGTGTACCTCAGTCTCAGCTATTTCAGCTGCCAACCAGCTTTGTAAGCTGTTTCGGTTGTAAGATCATCAGTTTATTTACCATCCCTGTTATAATGCTACGTTTACATTTAGCCGCTTCCCCTGCCGGAAATATTTCCGGGCAACAACTGAGCGAGAGGGCTGAATGTAAAAACACGCTGCCACTCGCGCTGCCAGTCCTTTGACTCGCGCACGAAAAACCGACAATCGAGGGAGCGCCGGGTAGCGCGAGTGGCAGCGCCAATGGCATGGGAAGTGTTTCCACTCGTGTTTACACTCTCGCGCTGCTCACGTGCCCACTCGGGCTGGGTGTAAATTAATAATAGAAAATATACTTGCATTAATTTGTGTAACGACTGCATCTCTGACTGTATTCATATTTGTAGATGATAATTACTACATGTCATATGTTATTCTGATGCATAAGCTATATTACTGTAAAGTTTCATCATAAACCGGTCAGTAGTTTTTGCGTGAAAGAGTAACAAACATCCATACTCACAAATATTCGCAATTATAATATTATCAATAAGATTTGGCAGACCTCCTGCAAGATATTATTATAGATAGATATATTACTATTGTTCTTTTTTATACAGAATGAAACACTTGCAAGAGATTGAAGAGGAGTCCGAAGACGACCTGGTCACGATGGAAGTGGAACCAAAAGAGAAATGGGACTGTGAGACCATACTGTCAACATACTCCAACCTGTACAACCATCCCAAACTCATCGAGGAACCCAAGGTATCGTTTCATAACAAGTTTTTCTTGAGCTGAGTTTGCTTTCCGAATGAGTGCTAGAAAAAAAAACTATTCAAGAGTTTTTAATTTGATAGTAAGTGATATGTTCTAAGAGAGATACTGGTATCATATATATGTTATCTGTATAACGTTTATATGTTAGGGCCCGTTCAAGGATTACGTATGCACTATGGAATGAAGGGGGGGGGGTCTTTGCTTTCCTTATTTTGGATGACATGTGGGGGGGAGTCTAGCTGATGATTACATAATCGGTAATTATTTACTTTTTTACATAAATGGCAACCCTCACACTGTGAGGGTTGCGATCTTTGCTAAAAAAAACAATACATTAATTGAAAAATGTTTACGTAAGCATGGAGGGAGGGGGTAAGAGCTTTGCTTACTATTGCTGATAAGGGGGATGGGGGGGAAGTAAATAATTGTAATAAATCTGCTTACGTAATACGAACGAGCCCGGGGTGATCAACCTTTTAATCAACGGCCAATATAAATTTAAAAACTTTTTGGCGGGCCGCTCATAAAGTACTAACTTTTAGTAATGTACAAAAATTTGTTTATAATAAATATTAGAATAAAAAATATATGAAATTTATTGCAAACATAAAATGCAAACGATCCTATTGCAGGTTTAAACAAGACGCGGCGGACAGGTGTGTAACTCGACATGACTAACTAAGTGTAATAGACGTATAGGAATGAAGAGATTATGTACATTATAGCCATATATACATCGATAAAAGTATGTGGATTCAAGAGTCTTTTTTTTTCAGAAACCGAAAAAAATCCAAATAAATGCAAAATCCGGATTGCCAATGGATACACTGGGCAAAGACAATAAGCTGACTATCAAATCATTAGCCAAATTCAACGCTATGAATGAGAATGACAGTGACGAATCTGACGACGAGGGGAAGACACACGCGGAATCAGTGTTGTCGACTTTAAGTGTACTATCCATAAGGTTGGTAATGCAATGTACATTTATATCAAAAAAAGGAAACAAACCTAACTATTCTAATTAATACCATATAGTAATTTTTGTGTGGAATGAGTAGTCATTATAAATGTGCGAGCTCTTATCAGTGATTTAACTCTGTCTGTCTGTCGCGCTTTCACGCCAAAAGAACTGAAAAATAATTGAAATTTGGTATGCAGATAGTAAACATTGTACATATTTTTTTTCAGACCTAAAGATGAATCTGCAGAAGAGAAAAAAGAAAGAAAACGCCTTCTCAAAGAGTATAGAAAAGAGAGAAGAATAGAGAAGAAGGCGAACAAGGAAGCGTTTAAAGAAGAAAAGAAACGGCAAGAGAAGATTATGTTAAACAATAGAAATAATATTCAGGGGAATAAAATATGTTAAAGAGATGTTTGTTGTATTTTTTTTAAATATTTGTAAAAGCAATGGACAGTTCTTCACTTCTACACATAGAAATAATTAATTCAAATTAACATAAGCACTTTTGAATAATCACATTTTTTTATTCTACCACTCATTCGTAACGCAAACTCATCACAAGAAGGACGAGAAAGAAACTTGCATATTGCTAATGACGACAGATGGACATACAGATCCCTAATGTCCGACCTAGGATGGGAAACAGAAGCGTAGGCAGACCTACTGCCAGATGGTCTGATGACATCAGGAAGACAGCAGGGCCGAACTGGACAAGATGCGCTACAGATAGAACAAAGTGGAACAAGAGGCATACGTCCAGCAGTGGACTACTTTATGATGAAAGAGAAGAAGAGAGAAGAGAAAGAGATATTGCTCTTTTAAATAAATATTTAGAATTACATTATTAAGAATTTTATGAGAATACAAACTGAAAATCAACAAAGTAGGCATAAATAAATCGTTACTTAAGTAACAAAATAAATCAATAATAGTTATCAGAGCAGAACATTCCCCCTACAAACACTACCTCATAATTTATTTTGTTTTCGGTGTCTCCATCACCGGCTGATTTGTTGTCTCGACCAGGATCAAACTCATGACTAAATTGTTGGTAGGCAAACTACTAGACTCAATATATTTGGGATAAAATAAAAGCACTACCCCATAATTTATTTTGTTTTCGGTGTCTCCATCACCGGCTGATTTGTTATCTCGACCAGGTTCAAATTCAGGACTAAATTCTGAATAGGCAATCTACTAGACTCAATATTTGGGATAAAATAAAAATCAAATAACGTTAAATATATTGCTTTATTAAATCCATTAAAACTAATTGGACTTACATTTGCTAATTACACCTTTTTAATGATATTTACACAAGTTACAGATCGAACATAAATATTAAGAATCCATTAGTAGGAATGTACTATTATATGACACTCCAATATATACATACTGCCATAAATATAGGATAAGACTATGCATTTAAACAGAATTACTGTAAATTAAGTCATGAATTTACTTTTAACAGAATTAAATTAGGTCATGAATTACTATTCTTTATGTTTACAGGTATAAGTATTTTAAATAATATATAATTATACCTTCACACAGAAGCGAATAAGTTGACAGTTTTTTTACAATGGGATAAACTGTGTGCTTCAAAAACAAACCATTATCGATTTTTAAAAATAAAATTAAAAAACATACATTCCTATATATATAGATCGTTATTATTGGCGCCAATTTATAATTATGGCATTATAAATTACATGATTATCATAAAAACATTACTGGTTCATTCTCAAAATAATAGTAATATATTTATTATAAAATTTAATTGTATTGTACAAACAATTAATATAATCGTACATGACTTGCTTACTTGTCATGTATTATCTATGAAGAACAAAAAAAAGCATAGTTTTTTTTTTCATATTCGTTCATCTCCTTTTCACTGATGGACAGGCAAAGGCTCTTAGACCGTACAGCCTAGTCTACTAATAAAGAGGGCAGAGAGCTTTCTCAGAATATACTTAAAAAAAAATTAAAACATGTTTATTTCTTTAAAAAACACAATTTGATTACAATAACTGTGTTGGGACCTAGTAAGCATTGCAAATCATATGTTAGATACATCACACTCTTCTATATGATTATGTCTTCCATTACCATGTGTTTTTAAAAAGAAAAATTTATAACTATAAGTTTAAAATGGCGATCTCAGTGTATTGTAATATTGATGTCGCTAAGGCTTTGTCCATTCCTAAATAACTAAGGTATTATGCCTCTATATTAATTAGTTCACATATTGATAGCAAGGAAACTAGTAGCTTCGATTATATAATACTGTTATAATAGTATACTACGATATAAGTGTGCGTTATGATGGTTACTGGATGGAATTTCAACCCGCACCGAAGACGAGAACGTAATAGAACGTTTTAGAGTGTTAAATACGCACATATAACGTACGACGTTTTTTAACACACTTGATTAAATAACCATAATACTGTGATACAAACTGTTGCTTTCCAGTCATTTCACTTTTGAAAAAAATCTGTGCGTTGCCTACTGACTGTTTTCGCAGTCAATTCGAAATTTGATTTAAAATAATAACAAATAATGCGATTATGGTATATAACTTCACTATTTGCGTTTTTAACGCACGCGTGTTTTATGACCTGCTTTTTATATCGAAAACCGGTGAAATTACATAAACTTTACGAGCAAGTGTGTAGAAAACGATTATTTAAACTAAGTGACGGCCTCGTGGTGTAGCAGGCTTTATTTGCGATGGTCGGTTTGATTCCTTGCACGGTGCAAACGTTTGTATTCATCAGTATGGTTGTTTGTATCGGTCTGGGTGTTTTCTATGTATATTATGTATAATTGAAAGTTCTGCTTAGAAGTAATATGTGGACTGAATATTATAGGCGAATACAGAAGTTCCTTTCTAGATGACAAATAGTCATGGCTTATTTTCATTAGTCAGTAATAAAGAAATATAATAATAAAACTTGAGGAATAAATAAATATTAATTTACTTCTAAGAGAGTACTAGGCCTTCGTAGCCGAGCCCGTCTGGGTCGGGACACTCCATTCTGTTCTTGAGATGCTGCAGCGTGTTGTGGAAATGCTTGGTGATCTGTTCCACCTCCTCGGATTGGTCGAGGTTCGCAAGCTCTTCTCGAATCTTCTGTATTACCTAAGAAGAGAGAAGAAAGACTAAAATATTCATTCAAAAAAGGTAACGTAAAGAACTTACAGTCTATATACAAGTTTCACATGGTGGTATAGTTACCGCCATGGTGACGTAATTACCGCCATGATGATATAATTACCGACATGGTGACATAATTACCGCCATGGTGTCATAATTACCGCCATGGTGTCATAATTATGACACAATGGTGACTGACATGGTGTCATACCGACATGCTGTCATAATTACCGACATGCTGTCATAATTACCGACATGCTGTCATAATTACCGACATGCTGTCATAATTACCGACATGCTGTCATAATTACCGACATGCTGTCATAATTACCGACATGGTGTCATAATTACCGACATGGTGGCATAGTTAAGTAGGTCCTCTTGGCACAGTATAGAGATGCCTAGAGATATTTGGATGCAAAATGTTCCTGGTGGCCTCCGGATGGGCCTCCTCAAGGCTGGGGGTCGTCCTCACTCTTGAGGACGAATCGACAAGTAGAAAGAAGATAGTTACCGCGTCGATGAGGTTGGTGGTGAGGGCTTGGTTGCCGCGTTCTCTCAGCAGCGCGTACCGTCCGAGCAGCTCGGCCAGCAGCTGCGCCTGCACGCCGCCGTCCATGCACTGCTGCGCCACACGCGCAGCCTTCTTCAGGCAGTCGAGAGCGCGGGACGGCTCGTTTAACGACCACTGTAGAAAATAAATTCAGTAATACACATAATTGTTGAGTTTCTTGCCAGTTCTTCTCAGTTCGAAAGCACTGAGACTGTCGGTAGATTTGACATATCATAAGAGTCTGGAATAGACCTACATGAATAAAGACATTTTAAAGAGATTTTGATTGATTTAATTGAAGCTGATGGTAGGGTAAAATATTAATGTAATATATTAGACGGCTAAAATGTCCTATCTGAATAAATTATTAATACACAGCGCCATCTAGTTCTAAATGATATGGCTACTAGACAACTGATTCAAAAATACATCGTGATAAATTCATGGTGAATTTACAAGGATGGTCTAACTCACCTGTACATATGCTCATCTTATCATTCTCCACTGGTGCCCCGCCAGCGCAAACCGTTAGCTCAGGCGAGTACACTCTTCCATTGTCACCCATTAAATTTTTTATTTTTTAGACAATGACTCGCCAAACTGCAGAACAGTTTCTTAGCAAGAGCTAAGAATGAGGTATGCACACAAACGTTTATTTACGGCCTACCACCTTTGGTAAAAGGTACAAATAATTACAAGCCTACTGGAGCATCATCATCTGCTTCTTTCTTATCCCATTTATTTGGGGTCGGCGTAATGATTTTCTCTCCCATTCATTCCTGTTCGCAAGCATCTCACTATTTACTCGCTTTCTTGTATCATCTTTCACACAGCCCATCTAATTTTCGGCCTTCCTCTGCCCTTATAACCATCCACATTCATATGTAAAATATTATATTCATTCCTACGCATTACGTACCCATACCACGATAGACGATTACTCTTCAACCTCTACGACACCGGCGCCACATTCATACATCTAATGTATTAATTCTTTATCTTATCCATTCTTATCTTATCACTACGACTGATTTAATCTTATTGTGTTTTTATATTTGAGCCTAAATAAATTAGTGCTGGTTGGTGGTTTGTATTCACACGTTTCGACTTGTAAAATGTGAACTAACAAGGATTGTTTAAAAGAGCAACACACAAGTTTCTTGCTTATTCTTCTTGTGATGAGACAGCTTTCCGAATAAGCGGTAGATTTAAAAAATGTTGACTATTCAAAAGTGCTTAAATTAAGTTTATTTCAATAAATGATTTTCTATTCTATTCTATTCTATTCTTGTCACACCACACATCCCTCTCAACATTCGCATTTCAGTTGGATGCAGTCGTCTTTCATCCGTCGCCTTTACGGGCCAGCACTCTGATCTATACGAGACAGCAGGCCGGGTCATGGTGTTATAAAATTCTACTAGAGCGTATAGCACTAAATAAAAAACGTACTTGCTGCCCATCCTTAGGGCCCTTCCAGAAGAGATGAGCGCATAAAGCAACCGCGCGGCTTTGGTCCGGCTTCTTTAGAAGTTTGCTGGCAGCGAGCGCGCATTGAGTACGCATCGGTTCTGCATTTTCTGCACCTGTATGAGGAAGAACATAAATACAAACAAATAAACAGATTATTTTAACATTTCTTTTTATGGTCTTGCTAGTTTAATCAGTGACTTCGGTTTAGTCAGACGACCTCGGTTCTGAAGGTCTAGCAGATTCGATTCCTTGTATGATTAAGATTTGTTTTGTATTCATGAGCATGATTGTTTATATCGGTCTGGTATAATATGTATGTATACAAAAAAAAAAATCTATGTATTCGTATATACCTATAAAATATGTATATTTACTGTGTGACAAAAAATTAAGTATTTTTTCTGTCTGGTTTTTTATTATTATTATTATTATAATCAAGTTCTGCTTTGAAGGTCGCGGCTTGGGACTAGATGGCCTTGTGTTAATTGTCCAGAAGTATTTCTGTCAGTTGTTTAGTACTCATAAAACAAGTTCTGCTTAGCTTGGGACTAGATGGCGCTGTGTTAATTGTCCAGGGATATTATTATTCAGTAAAAAGGTTATATGCTATAGAATACTGTCATTTATGCTCCACTCATTCTTGTGACAAGTTTGCGGTCCAAAAGAGTGGTACAATCAAAAATATATATATATTTTTATATTTATTCAAGTAAACAAATTAAAATAATAATTGGATCTATATACTGAACTGGACGGTAGGAAAATATATAAAATATATAAAAAAAATAGACGTTCAAAAGCGGCTAAAAAGTCCTATATGAATAAATGAGTTTTTTAATTTGAATTTGATTAGATTTTAAAGAAAAACATATTTATAACATTGTCACCGTGTCTTTTATTAAAATAAATTATTTTTATTGTTTTTACTTACCGAAGCAGTTAATTTGCTCGAATGTCGCTATGATGAGAGTTATGGCAGCCAACTGTGCTTTGCTGTCGGATATCTCGTCTTCGTATAGAGAGAACGCTTGTGATAAATATTCGTACGCTATTGTCTCGTGATTGGCGAATCCAATCTCGCCTATAGCTAGGGCACCTTGTAGATACAATCTGTAAGAGAGTTATACTATATGTGTGAAAGAGAAGCATTATGTCTACTCTAGCGCACATTGCTGGCGTCATGCGGCCATTAAACTTGAAATGTACGGGGATCCGATAATTAGGAAGACAAATATTTTAATAGTGTACTACATATATATGTGGGATAGAGAAAGCATTATGTTATCTTTAGCGCACATTGCTGACGTCATGCGGCCATTAAGCTGAGAACTGGGAGAGAGAACAGTAGTATCTGTCTGAGAATGGATAATTAGAGAGACAGAACAAAAGTGGATATATATATATATACTATGGCATTATGTTGTCTCTATGGTATTTTAGTGTTAAACAGCTCATTTACGGCCTCGATGGTGGTGTGTGTGTTTAGCACACCGTTTACTTCCGAGTGTGTTCGCGGGGTTGCTTGTAAGGACTGGTTTGCTCTAATCACTTTAATACTAATGAATTACTGCTAGTTAATAGTTTATATTCACACATGTCCATTTAAAAACGTGAAGTCACAACAATTGTTTAAAAGAGCAACACGCAAGTTTCTTGCTTGATCTTATGATAACAACTTTCATAATGACAGATTAGTTTAAAAATAATATTCAAAAGTGCTTAAATATAAGTTTATTTAAATTAAGAATCGTCTATTTTAATCTAAAAATAAAGCAGAAATAAAGATAACGCCGCATTGAAGTTAAATAAATAAATAAAATGTACCTTAACGGCAACTCAGCTAGCTCCGCTTTCACCAGTGTGCTGATGGTCTGGTGACAGAACTGGAAAATTTTCTGGCATTTTTTCTCCCACATGTCGTCCTGGAAACAGAATCATATTCTTCAATTTAACTTTTATGCTCTTTTTTATACTATGATGATGGCAACCAAGCATGCGGCCCATCTGAAGGTAAACAGATTTTTTTGTGGACGATAATGAAATGGTGCACCCGTCTACGCTAACGGTTTACGCTGGCGGGGCTCCAGTGGAAGATAAGATGAGCCTGAGGTCATGTTAGTTAGCCCATCGTGACATATTCACCTAGAATTTATCACGATGGTTTCCAGGGGGAAGCATGTGGTGATCAATCTGACATGGTACATTGTTAACAATAAGATTATCAAAGATGGTAAACGGTAGCCTAAGTTAATTAAAATTCATTGTTTTTCTTTTATAGTGTTCACGATTTAAATAATTTTAGTAATTCTTAAACACCTACCAAATGTTCAACCAAGTAGTTTAACAGTAAATGTAACATAACAAGATCTAAAATCTCTTCCCGGCAGGTGGAGATACCCCACCTAGATTTGCCACAATTATTAATATTAATATGGATTTTAAATATTCGTAATTCTTACCTGATCCTTAAGATCTTTGTACACAAATGCGAGGCGGTACGCATGGAACAGTATCGGTGGGAAGGTATGTTGTATACGTCGAGCTCCGCCTCCTTGCAGAGCCTTGCGAGCTGCACTCAGTATCAAATACTGCTGGTCCGCTGACTCCGACTTGAGGTGGTGGATTAATCTGCAATAGTCATAGGTTCAAGTTCTTGAATTTATTTTTATGTTACTTAAATGGCTAGTTAACACCTCTTTTGATGGTATGACTATTGGAACTTTTGGTTAATTTATATTTGGCCGTTACTGATAGAAAAATTAACTAGAATTTTTATATTTAGAAAGGTAGTGTAGGTGCCTTCTATTGTTCATAAATTTTCGTTGGCATATTGTGAGCCTTTTTATTTTACCAATTATATACATACTAGCTGTCCCGGCAAACGTTGTTTTGCCATATAAATTAATAACGCTATAAAAAAAAATAGGGGTTGGTGATAGAAGGGTGAAAAATTAGGGTTGTATGTATTTTTAATGACACATAATAAAAAAATATAAATAAAAAATTATGCTCAGAAATAAAAAAAATGTTAGGGGTATCCAACCCTTATCACTTAGGAGTATGAAAAATAGATAGTAACCGATTCCCAGACCTACTGAACATGCATATAAAATTTCATAAAAATCGGTCAAGCCGTTTTAGAGTTGTATGGTAAATAACATTGTAACACGAGAATTTTATATATAAGATTTTACTTTTGTATTTTACTATATTTACTTAACTAATATTTCTTATTTAGCTTTATATTTCTAAAAAAAAGTAGCCTAAGTTACTCCTTAAAACATCAGCTACCTGCCAAAAAAAGTCCCATCAAAATCGGTCCAGTCATTTCAGAGATTAACCGAAACAGACAGACAGACAAAAATTGTAAAAAATGTTATTTTGGTGTATGTATTTATATTAATATGCAAGTAGTAAAAAACGGTTATTTCAATATTACAAACAGACACTCCAATTATATTTATATGTAAAGATTAACAGTGCCTATTAAACCCATACAAAGACGGCGTTGGTAATTTGGTCGATGTTACTGTCTTACCTCCCATGTTCGCGGGTTCAGTTCCTTGTACAATGCAAACATATGTTTCTTGAGTTTAATTGTTTGTATCGGTCTGGTTGACAATGAAAAAGTTACCATGAACTCCATATCCTTTTTTGATAGGATCCTAGGCTCTTGGGCGCATCCAAAAGCGCTCCCATAACCTCGGCAATATGTTTGAGGATGACTAGACGTAAGAGTCTACCGAAGGTTAATTACCTGGCCAGTAACCCCTGCTCCTCCATGAAGTCTTCCACATCGGGCTCCGTAGTTGGCTGATCAGGTTGATCCTTGACCAGTACATCCAACATGGACAGCACTGCCTCTACCTGGTGTGTAACAAACTAATTTAAGCAAGACTTACTGCACTGCTTGTGAGGACTGATCTGTTCAGGTTCGACTGGTTAGACTATTTGCTTTCACAATAGCATATGCTGGTCACTCTATTCTCCCATATTTGAATTTAAAAATGAATCTGTATTATTGTAAATATGTACATCACAATGTACATGAAAAGAATACGAGCTGAGTTTTGTTTGTCAGTTCTTCTCATCTCGATATCATTCCCAACTGACCGTTGATTTGACATATCATAAGAGTATGTAATAGACCTACAAAAGATATTTTGAATTTTATTTTACATGTCAAAGGAATAAAATTATAAGCACATATTTTTTGTAAATACATACATATGTTGAATCATATTTATTGAGCAAAGTCCACAGTTAATGATTACTGGAATGACAAACGTGCATGGCAATAGTAGTTCATGCACGGGATTTTAATAATTATAATTCTAAAACAGCGTATATATTGTGCACTATCTGTTACCGCGACTTTGTCCGCGTGGAATTTAACTTTATTTTCTAAAATAAAAGTAGGCTAAGTTTCTTCTTATTACATCAGGTACCTGCTAAAAAAGTCCCGTCAAAATCGATCCAGCCATTTCAGAGATTAGCCGGACAGACAGATTGTCAAAATTGTAAAAAAATATTCTTTGGTGTATGTACTGTATTTATATTCATAGGCATATAGTAAAAAATAGTTATTTCAATATTACAAACAGACACTCCAATTTTATTTATATGTGTAGATATATAGATAATAATTTATAATTGTATCATAGAATGTACTATGTACAGTGCTCTATACAGTGCATATAAATATTTCATAAAAATCGGTATAATGCCACAAGAATTTTATATATAAGTTCAAAACTCACATCTTCCGGTGTGGATATCAAGGTATCAGTCTCCAGTACATCATTGATCAGGTGCACAGCTATCATGATCCTGCCGGTGTAGTTCAGGTGTTTGATAAGAGGCGAGTAGTTCTGCAGCTTGATCAGCGTCAGGATATTCTTGTAGTGGTCAGCTGGTAGCTTTAGTATCTTCATCAGCTCTTTAAAAACTGGCATGCTGTTTTCTAGATGCGTTTTGCCGCTGTTGGTGATAAATTTATTATTACTTTATCGTGTACCTACCTTGGTAGTGCAGTGGTTTAACACGCTACCTCAAGATGGCATGGTCGTGGATTCGAATCTTGAATAATACAAATGTTTACAGTATTATTAACTATTTCTATTTCATTAGCCGTTTTGGTAATCATAGTTAATGCATAACAAAAAATATAAATAAAATAAAAGTATGCATCATAGAAAGAAGCATGTTGAAAATTATTACAAACTTAGAGACAAAGTCAAAGTTACTAATACAAGGAAAGATACCAAATTGACAGATGCAGTCAGAACAATCAAGAAACTGAAATGGAAGTGCACAGGACAGCCAATCAGAAATAAGAATGGACCCAGGAAGCGGATGAAAGAAAGACAGAGAAGTATGGAATTTATTAGTGTCTTAGCACAAGCTGATGCACCGAGGCAGTGAAATAGAAATAAAACAATCAAAATTAACTATGTATCTCTTATTTTAAATTTTAAAACTAACGTTTAAAAGCCATAACGCTACTTAAAGCTATTCAGGACGTCCCAGAATACTACAATAACTAGGACATGTTCTGCAAAAACAGGATGGTTGCCAGCTCTAGTATATCCCTTCGAACGTTTTGACACAGATCTGTGCACCCCTCTTAAACCTTATTACCGTCTTATCACAGATCTGTGCCCACAAAACTGTGACTTTTTTTTAACCAATTTTATCCTTATTTAAAAGAAAATAAGATTAAAATGCGTTTGAAAAAATACAGCTGGCGCCTCTTCATTTTCGATCGCTGCGACAGACGTCTATTGTAACTGGCTAATCAGATATGTATTTTATATTCTAAATTTGTATTTGAATTTATAGTTCTAACCTATTCAATAGTAGACGGTAGAAAGCGATAATATTAAGCTATAATATCGTGCGTCTTTATATTACATTCTTGTTTTTGATACATCATTATTAATATATTTTCTCCGTTTACCTAGTCTTCTTTCTTATTACTACAACAACGTCGAACATTCGAAAGGATATGCTAAATATGTTAATATTTATATTACTAGTGCAGATTTACTAACCTATTCTGGTGTATGTCTACGCATATTTTATCTGTATGCGCTAACACTCTGTCCACATAACCGAGTTTATCTGGGTGACAGCGCTGTGCCAACTTGAGCAATGCCAACTGCAGACTGAGCATATCCTCTGACGGCATATCCACGCGGGTCTGGTAGAAGTAATAATTTTTTTTTTAAATTTAATACCAAATAAAATTATCATTACTCATGTATATATTTTATTGAGTTAGTTTTCGGAGATCCATTCCAGTTTAGTCCATTTATTGTGTATGAAAATCTTCAACAGACTGTCAAAAGGGTGACGAAGAGTGTGTGGGAACCCTACCCACTAAAACGCCACACAGTGTATCTACGAGCGCCATTCCCAGAGTCTCAAGGACGTGTTAATATTCTACCGGAACTCAGGCGGCGTTGGATCGCCCTGTAGCCCTACGCAGGCCCTCTCTCGTTGTCAGGGCGACTTATTTCACTCTACTCAATTGGGGAAGGGTGTGGATACATGCACAGGCCTTCGGGGTCGTTTAGTTGGGCCGTCGCTTTCCGCAAACATGCACCCTGGCCCCAGTGGGGAATAGAGGTGGGGCAGAGTTCTGTACGCCCCTGCTTTTAGGCAATACTCTTCTGCGGATTATGGGACGACGAAACCTAAACTAAAAATAATAAAAGACACAAAAACAAACCTGAGTGATAGCTGCCACTTGGTCTGAGAACACTTCGAACAGCTGCACCTCCTGTTCCTTACCATCCTCCATCACCACACTGAGGTTTATGTTGCCCTCATTTCTCTGAAATTATAGATATGATATTTAATGGGAATTATAATAATAATCTCAGGACAATTCACACAGTACCATTTAGACCCAAGTTAAGCTAGCTAAAGATTGTGTTATGGGTACTAGGCAACTGGTATAAATACATTTTTTTTTGTGCGCACGCACGCACGCCCGCACGCACGCACGCACGCACGCACGCCTACCAAAGCATTCGATAAAAGTATCCTGATTAATTCACTCGATAAGTCACATTACAAGTACACCATACTATGGAAGAGGACACTGGCTCCTGAATCACAGGTATTTTCTGTACCTACATAAGAAGACTGGGATTTCATAATTATACAAAATATGAGAAAAATATGTTATTATTATTTTAGTGGAAATTATGATCCAGTTCACTTGAAATATTTTAGTGTTACTTTCAGAAAAATAAGTAATATGTATCGAGACCCCACCATCTTAATCCTCTAGCTATAGCCACGCATGAATGATATCACGGTATATGTGTAGCTTTTATTTTTTAATTTCACTGCTAAATCGCTGCTTACCACTAAATCACAGTTTACAAAGAAGCTGTTTAGCCACTGAAATACATGAATGCAGCTCATACCTGGCTATAAGCAGCTAATCTCTCAATAAGTGCGATGATGATATTCTTGATGTTCACGCCCGGCTGAAGCTCAGCGCAAGACTTCAAAAAAGGCTGCAGATTCGCCAAATGGAATTCATCTGGAAAGACCTGCAATCACAGAATAAAAATACGTTAAAATATATAAAACTGTCGTGTCACAGGTTTCGTATTTATACTCCTACGAAACGACTTGACATTTTATATGTATATATATATTCAGTAGGTCTGAGTTTATAACTAATTTTTATACCCCAAGTAATAAGAGTGGATCACCCATAAATTATTTGATTAAAATTTTTTTATCACGTGGCATTAAAAAAGACATACAACCCTAAATTTTCACCTTTCTACCACCAACGCCTATTTTTAAATAGCGAGTAATATGGATATTTTGTATAAGAACACATATATACGCCAAAACAACGTTTTGCAGAGTCAGCTAGTAATATACATATATATTTTGTATAAGAACACAAATAAATGCCAAAATCTCTAACGTAATATTCGCAATTTTTATACATTCTTTTATTTCTATATAGTCTTTCCATAACATTTTATTTAGATTCGCCTATTTATTATAGGGTTGGTAATAAACATAGGTTTAACCCCATTAATTGTGTATTTAATATTTTGCTCTAATGAATTAGTGCTAATTGGTGGTTTGTATTCACACACTTCAACTTAAAAATGTAAAGTTACAACAATCATTTAAAAGATCAACATGCGAATTTCTTGCACGTTCTTCTTAGTGATGAGACAGCTTTCCGAATGAGCGGTAAATTAAAAAAAGGTAATGACTATTTATAAGTGTTTAAATGAATGTTTATTTCAGTATAAAATACAATAAAATAAACTAGCTTTTTTAAAAAAAGTAAGTCAATTCAGTTTCTTGCCAGTACTTCTCAATTGAATCTGTATACTGAACTGATGGTTATTCCCTAACCATCATCTGGACAGTTAGTTTGTTTACCATTCAAATTACATGAATTTTTGATTTGATTTGATTTATTCTATTCTATTCAACAGATACACCGGATAGCTCCTTTGAACAGTTAGTTTGTTTGCTGTTCAAATTACATGAACAATGATTTTTGATTTGATTTGATTTATTCTATTCTATTGTATTTAACAGATACACCAGATAGGTCCTTTGGACAGTTAGTTTGTTTACCATTCAAATTACAAGAATAATGATTTTTTATTTCATTTGTTTTATTCTATTCTATTCAACAGACCCACCAGATAGGTCCTTTGGACAGTTAGTTTGTTTGCCATTCAAATTACATGAATAATGATTTTTGATTTGATTTATTCTATTCTATTCATCAGGTACATCTAATAGTTCTTCTTCAGTCTGCAGCTCACCTGTATGATACACTCCATGAGATACTCCTGAGCTATCGCGTCCCTGCAGCTGACCACCTGCTCCAGGATGCCCGGCAGCACCAGCCGACGGTAATCATCCACTGTGACCGACTCCAGCTGGGAGAGGCGCACCAGGTTCGTGCCAACCAAGATACGCAGCTCGGAACGTTCGCGTTCCCGGCGCTCTTTATCCCTGGGAAACGTCATCAGGTCTAACTTCTTTTATACATAAATACACAGCGCTATCTAGTCCCATGGTAAGCAAAGCTTGTGTATTGTGTGTTGTGTGGTAATAGATAACTAATACAATTAAATAGATAGTTTTTTTCGTAAATACATACATATTATACATAGAAAACACCCAGACCGATACAAACAATCATATTCATGAATACAAATGTTTGTGTCGTGCAAGGAATCAAACCCATCGAAAAAAACGACCGTCGGAAATAAAGCGGCGTGCTAGACTACCGAGGCCGTCTAATTTTATTGTGTGAATATATCAAAAGACCATCCCCTGTCAGAGAGCCGACGAGAGGTTGTGTGGGATTCTTACTCATTAAAAAAACACGGCACCTAAGAGCGCCTACCAATTTGAAATCAACAATAATTAATTCTGATTGACTTTAATAATAAACAATAGATAATCTGAATATACAGTATTATTCTGTACGTGTGTTAGTCACTTCGCATTTTAAAAAAGAAATGTGTTCATAATTCAATAGTCTACTATATGTGGGAAAGAGAAGGATGTATTACGTCGCCTCTGTCGCACACTGCTGGCGTCATGCTGGCACTAAGCTGTGAACGATGAGTGAGAACAGCAGTGTGTGAGAGACGATAATTAGGAAAACAATACAAGTAAGGTCCTGCATGTTTTAATACAATTGGACACGGTAAAATAAGCTCTATTCTTGAAGGTTTCAATATCAACTTACCTTGAGTGGCCTTGATGTTGCATTCTCACCCAAAGTTTGTTCATTTCAGCGAAATTCATTAGGACGAAGTCGATTGCATCACGGACCTATAACAGAGATAATAAATAAGTTTCTTTTAGGTAACTAATAAAGCGGACGGGCCACCTGATGGTAAATAATAACTGTCAGCTATATGCACTATTAAGGTTTCTTAAGGGTCGGCAACGCGCACATGACACCCCTGGTATCTCAGGCGTCCAAAGGCTACGGTAACCATATACCATCGGATGGGCCGTATGCTTATATAAATGGCCATCATATTATCATCTGACCTCCATGATAATACTCTATTCCAGTGATCATATCATATCTCTTAACCAAAATCTTTACATATATAAATAAAAGTGTCCGTTTGTGATTTCAAATTAACAGCTTTCCACTAATTTCGTATGAAAGTATAGACAGTACTTAGATGTCTGTCTGTTTGTTCTTGGTAATCTTTGAAACAGCTGGACCGATTTTGACGGGACTTTCACTCGCAGATAGCTACTGTTATAAGGGGTAACTTAGACTTTTATTTTAGAAATAATATTTATTTTAATAAAAAAAGTTTATTTCCAAGGCGACAAAGTTGCGGGTACCTAAGAGTAGATTTTCTTACTAGTTCTTCTTAATTGAATCTATAGACTGAACTCAATAGTAGCGAAAAAAATATTAATACAAGAAACTTGAACTGCAAAATTATTAACAATAAATAAATTTCCTACATGAATAAATAATTTAAATATACTTACAGTGCCTTCGCTCTCGTTTTGAGCTTCGGCTATATCAGGTAGGATGTTCCTCGTGCACTGAAGCAGATAATTCCGTAGGAATAGACCGCGCAGCGGATGCTGCACTCCACGGCACATCTCCACCAAATCCTATATTCCATTTACCACGTCAATAACTGAAATACCTTTGAGATTTAGCTTAAAATAGTCTGATTTCAAATATAATTGAATGGACTACATTTAATAGCAAATCATTATGAATTTTTAATTAAATCTTAAAAATCTTTATTATTATTAATGAAGAAATTGTAAACAAGAGTAAGCTTTTTTTTGAACGATTCTAATGCTGTTGGCCGCAGTTGGTCTTTACAAATTCGCCAAACAGAAGGGGGCGAGTACTGATAGCACTCAATACCCGCGGAAGAACTCATAGTGCACCTGAAGGCCAACTCCTGCCTGACTGACATGACTTTACGGGGTTCGAATCTTGGACAGAGTGCTATGATTTCGATACCCATTTGAATACTTGCAAATTGTAATATTACTTATAATAATAATAATAATATTTCAGGTCAATTCATGGTCAATCTAGTCTCAGGCTAAGCAGAGCTTGTGTTATGGGAAATAGACAACTGATACAAATACATATTTATTTTCGTAAATACATAGATATTATAGATAGTATTAATTACATAGAAACCACCCAGACCGATACAAACAATCATACTAATTAATACAAATGTTTGTGCCATGCGAGGGTCGAACCCGCAACATTCGGGAGTAAAGCGGTGTGCTACCGCTAGACCACCGAGGCTGTCTTAATATTTGAATTCCTCTTACCTTCAACAGATCTCTTCTAAGGTTAGTACTGGTCTTAATGTAGACCAATCCGACGGTAATCAACAGGTACAGCCTAGGTACAATATTACCAGCGTACTGCACCAACTCATACAAGTCAGCGACTTTACGGCCCTTCTGGAATTCTTCTAGAAGATACAACTCGAGGTGACGGAGCTCGTCTGTTATTGCCATGTCTGATATTTGGAGTTAAGGTCTTTTTCTTAATACTAGGTGACCCATACAACTTTATCTGCTTCCTTGACATTTATCATTATATTTCGCCCAATTTATATAATATCTTTTTCAAATTATAGCCTATATGTTATTCTGATGTATAAGCTATATTACTGTAAAGTTTCATCAAAATCGGTTCCATACTTTTTGTGTGAAAGAGTAATAATCCATACTCACAAACTTACATGTTTATAATATATTTTTGTTTTTATTTGACAAGGATGGGATCCTAAACTACTGAATCTATTTTGATTTAATTTTTAAAATTACAAACATCACACCACTTGCCATAGACAAGGCATTAATCCCCACATTCTGAAACCTAAGTGATCTTGAACAGTGAGGTTTCGGAGGAGTCACGCTTCTGTGTACACTTACATTATGGAATTAAATACATGTGGTAGTATCAAAAGTGCTTATATTAAGTTTATTTGAATCAAGATTATTTCTACTTATATTTCATACCACGGTTTTCTCGAGAATTTACAGCTTGAAGTTTTTCAAGGCTTCTTAAGAGTCTGCAAAAAATTTACTTCCTGGTAGTTCACGCGTTCATATGTTAAGGTAACCATTTACCATCAAATGGGCTGTATACTCGTTTGCCAATGTTTGTGTTGTTAAAAAGGATACAGAGCTCATAGTAACTTTTAGGAGAGAGTAGTGATGTTCTTAACTCTCCTAGCATGGTAGATGCATGCTTGAGAGCATCCATTAACTTGGATTTGTCCAGACATCTCTTCATTTGAAATGCCTGCAACAAATAAAAATACTAATAACAATCCTGGACAACTCACACAGCGCCATCTAGTCCCAAGCTAAGCAGTGCTTGTGTTATAACTAGACAACGGCCTGACCAATACCAATAATCATACTCATGAATACAAATGTTTGTATTCATGAGTAAGATCCACGTCAAACAAGTTTGAATATATTAACAGTAATAAAAAACCTTTATTAGAATATCTATGATATGTATTCTAGAGTAATTATTTTTAAGTCATAACATTTGATATATATTATTTTTAGTTCTAAATATTATTAAAAATGAGTAAAATTTATAAGTCATAAATTAATTAATTAAAGTTTGTTACCTGCACTTTAACCACATTCCAAGCTTCTTCCAGAAGCTTCTCCTGCTCCTCAACAGGAGACGCCAGGTTCGTCATTTGTGCCTAAACAACAAGTAACCAATTATTTATTACTTTTTAATTATTAACCATCACTAAATAAGGCGAAAGAATACTAAACTAACATTCGACCAAATATACAAAAATGGATGATTAACTTGAGGCATGAATATTTAATGTAAGTGGACATGCAGATTGCGGAATCGATGAGATAATGAATTGAGCACACCTGTTAAAATATGCTTTAACCGCTATTGGAAATTGCTGATAAGAGTTTTATTAAAATCTATAAACCAGTAGGTGTTGTTATTGTACTGATTGATAGGAAAAATTGACAGTAGATTAAGAGATGAATGAATGATAATGGCAACCACAGATAGTATTACCAGGTCTCAACCTACGTTTCTCCCATAAATTATTATGTGCCTACACTTGTAATATTTTCGTCAACACTAGAGACCCTTCCATTAGTTTACGTCTCCATTAACATAGATTTAAGTTAACTGTAAAATCAGTCTACGTCCAAACTCCGCGTCGACTGGACGTGTTATTAGTAAACTTTATAGCAACTACCAATAAACTTAATAATGTCTAATAAATAGTACAATCATTTTACCGGTATTCTCACTACCTACATACTACATTAAATAATATACTATGTAGCGCCACCTCATCACAACATACATAACGCTACAGTGATGAGAATAACTACTGCACTACAATTATATTCCTTATTGCACTTCTCTATCCATATGTTAATAAAGGACGACTTATCCCTAAAAATGATCTTTTATAGTCAACCCAATACAACGTGTATAAGAAATGTTAAGTGAGTCTAAATGTGAAATAACAGTTTTAAAAAATATTTTAAAATATAACATAATAAACAATTAAACTTTAAACAAAAACTAAAGATAACTTTTTGGTTGGTTTTAATGAAAATTTCTACGTAATAAAACAAGTCATTTCCCATTTTAGTAATGTGGTTCTATGTTTTTTTTTACTTTGATGAGTTTAAGATAACTTCTATAAGACAACTTTTTCTTTGTGTTTTTTAGATCTGCATTTACATGCTGAGGAAAATCTGTGTAATTTTTTATTATTTTTCCTACATCATTCCGATTTCTTTACCACATCCACACATAATTTGGGGGAAACAATCGGGCATCACTGGCCATAGATTACTGAAGCCACAGATAAGAAATATATTCGCGAATGATATTAATGCCAATCATCATTTTATTCATTCAGTTGTCAATTCAAGTTACGATGAGGTAATCGCGTCACAACACATAAATAAATAAATAATCACTGAGAATATAAGAATATGGATAATAAGCCGTCATTGAGCCATTATTTTGGCGATATGCAAGTGGTGCCCGCGTCTCAGTTTTTCGATGAAATTGGTACGTCACCGTCGGACATGATACAAAGCGTTTATTTAGGAGGAAGCGATGGTAATGTTTTGGATCAATATTTTTTTTGTTATTGTTTACTTATGTTTAAATCTAAATAATTACTATATTTAATCACTGTAATCTATAGGTGACATGGTAACATCAAACCAAGTCTTTCCTCAACCAATGACGACCTCTTTCAACCAACAAAATACGCAAGATGTTACTTTTTCGAGTGTTTTGGCAACTGTCAGCGGATCTGCTTCCGTGCCAGCAACGAGCCTGCCTGATCCATCAACGTTCTTTGATACAATAGGTCCAGAACCACAAATAGGACCTACTAAAAATAACATGACGAGTACAGCTCTCCTTACAGATGCCATGGAGGCTCTGAGTATAAAGGTATTTTTTTGTGTTCCAATTTTAAATTGTCATTTTTTTTTATGTACAACTATTGACTGATGCAACTGCCTGTGTTAATGGTATACACTGGTTAGTGATATACCAGTGTAATTCTAGGGTAGCAGAATACAGATTTAGCCTCTTTGGAATTTACTACAATAATTTTTTAAAAGTGTACAGAATGAGACAAAGGCATAAAAATTAAGAGCATATAAAGGGTAACTTTTTTTCAATTTTTGTTCTAGAACCAACCAGTTGATAAAGAAGCAGATAGACGAAGGGATGCATGGATTCCTAATGATGAGGCCAAGAAGACACTGATGAAGGTTTGGGAAATTCATATACAGTCTTAGGGGGTTAATACACTATCAAGTTACTACAATATATTGTTTATAGGATCAATTTATAATAAATACTTCTGGGAAGAGTCAGCTCTTGCAATGCGCAATGCTCCAAATACAGAGCTAAATGTGAAAATGTGATATACTCTATTTGACATCTTTACATAGTATAAAACAGTCTCCGTAGTTGTCTGTTCTCTTATATCTTTTAAATTATGCAACAGATTTTAATGCCGTTTTCAGCTATAGATAGGTCAATAATTAAATAATTGAAGAGCAAGGTTTATATGTATAATATATGCATGTTATAGTATAGAACAGGCAGAGAAATTCAAAGGTTTGTAATCCATCCGAGCAAGGATTGGTGTAATAACTGTACTTTATCTATACATATAAATAAATGTGGAGTGTCTGTTTGTAATATCGAAATAACCGTTTTTTACTATATGCATATGAATATAAATATGATACATACACCAAAATAACATATTTTACAATTTTTGTCTGGTTGTCTGTTTGTTCTGGCTAATCTCTGAAATGGCTGGACCGATTTTGACAGGTAGCTGATGTAATAAGGAGTAACTTAGACTACTTTTATTTTAGAAAAATAAAGTTAAATTCCATGCGGATGAAGTCACGGGTATAGCTTGTAAATGATAAAATACATTCACTTTTTCTTACTTCCTACTCTCTTTACTTACTTATCTGATAATTATCTTACTACAGTTGTCTCAATGGCCATCTCTGTTTCACCTAATGTAGCCACCAACCAACTTGCAATATTTTCTTCCAGGCCCAGTCTTCACCTAAAGGCTCATTCTTTCCTGAAAGAGAGGTTCTAACAATGCCAGGGTTAGTGCTTGAAGAGGAACTTGTAAGTAAAATTAATTATTTATAGAATCATGATAAGATGCTTCATTTTAATAGTTCTTGGAATTTTGTGGACAATGTTGGGATGAGCATGAGGTCAGGTCAATCGGGAATTTATCCCGATGATTTCCACTGGAACCGCATGGAGGTCAATCTGATTTTACCATATATTGCTAGCTATGGGGTTGAAGAGGAAACGCCGCTTCTCATCCTATGTGCTTGTAGCTCACTCATGCATAAACGAAATATCTCCTTTGGAAAGTTTACACTCTTTCCCGAGGAGATAAAAACCATCGCTCCTAAGAATATCCTTCAATTCTTGTCCCTGACGGGTCTAGGTAGCGAACTTTGAAAAGGACGAGCACAATAGATCTATGTAGGTTGCAGTGCACATCACACATCTGACAATAGCCCAAACAACCCAATAAAAAGAAATAGCTGTGGGGATTTATTCCACATTAGTAACAATCCTCTTTCCCCCACCAGCATTAGAGTTCTCCAATAAATATATTATCATCTTTACAATAAAACTAGGCAGATTTTTTATGGATGATAATGGAATGTCTCACCCGCCTACGCTAACAGTATACGCTGGTGGGGCACCAAACGACGATGTTAGGGTGAACACGAGGTCAGGTCAGTTAGCCCATCGTGACAAATTCACCAGGAAATTATCATGATAGTTTCCAGGGGCAACCACGAGATCTATTTTTTTGGGGATTATAATTAAAATGTTGCACCCGCCTGTGTTAACGGTTTACGCTGGCGGGGCACCAGTGGAGGATGATAAGATGAATATGAAGGTCAGGTCAGTTAGCCCATCGTGACAAATCCACCAAGAATCATGATAGTTTCCACGGGGAACCGCGTGGAGATCAATCTGACATGGTACATTGCTAGCAATGCAGTTATCGATCCACATTACCAACAATCCCCTTTCCTACCGGCCAATAGCATTAGAGTAGTCTAAAAAATCCATTAAAATAGAAACAGAAATAATCTTTATTCAAATAAACTCATTACAAGCACTTTTGAATAGTCATATTTTGATTCTACCACTCATTCGGAATGCAGATTCATCACAATAATGAGCAAGAGACTTGTGTGTTGCTCTTTTTAATAGATGTTTTTATTTTATATAATAATTACAGTATAACGAGTAATCCTTATCATATTTATATCCATTATTATACTCATAGCTGGTGGTAACTCTATTCTCTCTTTGAATTTAAAAATGAATCTGTATTATTGTATATATATACTAGCTGTCCTGCAAAACGTTGTTTTGCCTTAAAATAAAAAAAAAATTTGGAGGTGGACTACCCCTAACATTTAGGGGGATGAAAAATAGATGTTGCCCGATTCTCAGACCTACTCAATACGCTCACAAAATTTCATGAGAATCGGTCAAGCCGTTCCGGAGGAGTATGATTTATTTGAAAAGAATACGAGCTGAGTTTCTTGTCACTTCTCATTTCGAAATCATTCCGAACTGACGTTAAATGTGACATACCATAAGAGTTTGTAATAGATTTAAATGAATAAAGATATTTGGATTTTGAACTATATTAAAACTAGGCAGATGCATTGCAAGGGGTAGTGAAGTACCTAGGAGTGAGCGCTGCCGGCAGTCAGGGCGTAGGTTGGTGATTAAATATATATAAGGAAAAAGGGTTGTAAGGGGTTGAAAGAAGGGTTGAAAGAGATGAGAGGTTGTATGGAAGTATCGTCACTTTTAAAGCTAGAAACCTGAAACGTTTTTATTTGTTTTTTATTGGGTTAGATTATTAAATATTTTTCATTATATGGTCAAGGTCATATTAATATAATTGGGCGACTATCACACTCCTCCGCGCGCACAATTATGGTAAAAATGGATTCAAAGGTTTTACTTCACGTATTAATATACAGAAAGTGCCACCAGGAGGCTGCGTTTCTGAGACGAGACTGACTACTTTAGTAGTCTCGGCTTTATTGACCAATAAAATCTAAATATATATAACTCAAAGGTGACTGACGTAGCGATCTATCAACGCACAGCCCTAACCACTGGACGGAACGGGCAGAAATTTGGCATGCAGTTAGATGTAATGACGTATGCATCCGCTGAGAAAGGATTTTGATAAATTCCACCCCTAAGGGGATAAATTAACGCGAGCGAAGCCGCCGGCAAATGCTAGGATGATATAAAAGGTGGAATTGATGCTATAACAGAAAGTGCCAAGATACTTGACAGCTCTACATGCTGAATGGGCCAAATGAGATGCTAAGTGTGGAGAATAGAGTCCATTTTACATTGCATTGCGTTGCATTACATTCACAACTAGGCAGATGCATTGCACGAGGTAGTTTTTTTTTCCGTATGATAATAACATGGTGCACCCGCCTGCGCTAACGACTAACGCTGGCGGGGCACCAGTGGAGGATGATAAAATAAGATGAGCATGAGGTCAGGTCAGTTAGCCCATCGTGATAAATTCCAGATGAATTTATCACGATGGTTTCCAGGGAGAACCGCGTGGAGGTCGACCTGACATGGTACATTGCTAGCAATGGGAGTTACTAGTTCCCAATACTAACAATCCGAACGCAATGCTGAAC